CTGTGTTTTACTCAAATAAATGCAGCCTTGGTGAGCAAAAGAGACTTCATTCAATTTTTATTAATGTTTTTATATTCCAAACTTGTGACAGATAGTGTATACATATAATAATAAAATGGTCATCTTTACAGGATTGATAGGTATATACAATCATCATAATCATAATATAATAACAGTCCCATATAAAACATTATCCAACCATACAGAGACCAAGGGCAACTTAAAATAAAGGTAATTAAATCAGAGTTAATCCATCATCTTTTCTGGTCTTTTCAATCTACCTCGTGAGGGACTTTCCTGAAGGTTTAGTCCCGTGAAATCTTGCTCCAAACCTTGGGGCGGATGTGCTAAGAAATATAAAAGTAAAACATACTGTCATCACAATGAAAGGCCTACCTCACAAATATATTTTAAAAAATGCATGGCTGGGTATAAAATGCTGTCTTACTAGGGAACATGTCGCTCTCCTCAACATACAGTTCTGGTGAAAACTAAAAATGAAGAAAAGAAAAAACAAAACAATTCCCAAGTCAGTGTGTGTATGTCGTATCTGATGCCACAGGCTGTCCACTTGAGAGTGCTTTAAAGAAAAACACAGATTAAACCTGATGAAACAGATACTCACATCAGTCTCTTGAGAGCCCTCGGATCCTGAAGCTGGAGAGGAGACAAAACAAATATCAGATTTAACAGTTCAATCAATCTTCTTAATGGCATCAACCACAAATGTAATGTTTCCTACCTGCAGAATGAGGTTCAGATGGAAACTGATAGACTTTATGTGGATTAGCGGCATCGTTCTTGCTGTCAATTATAATCTTGAAGCCTTTAGCACGAAGAGCGCTACGGAAGTTTCTCTTCCAAACAGAGGGATCTCCGTTTATCCTGCCATCTCCAGCGACGCTCGTCTGAGCCCACGCCTGACGGGGACAAAATACAGTTATCAGAAGAAAAGTACTCCATGTCTGCTCTGACGGTAATACCATGCTTATATACCATGGTACTGAATGATTTATATTGATATAGGTATTTACCTGATACTCCAAGGTACTTAAAAAAAATCCTTACATTAAATGTAATATGTGGTGTTGCATGGTTGTAATAAATATAAATGTATAAATGCTGATTGTAATGGAAGTGTAGTAAATTATAAGGTATTATCAATAATATACTAAATATACAATTGAAACAGTCACGAAAAGTGTAGCCCTACTCTATTTAAATAAGTAAAAAATATGTAGACTTGAAGTACTGCAAGTGCACATTTAATATAGTTAAACACACTTCTTTTTCTCAAGGGATGCCACATAAATAGGGTATTCATTAAGCACCATGATGAAAAAACTACACAGAAATGTCTTAATGATGCATGACAAATAATCTCACCTTGAATATGAGGACATCAACATTGTTAGAGTCCTGTCTTAAAGCGTGCTTCCACGGAATGCTAAACTGTCTTTGCTCTTTATTGGTCCAACACACTCCAGGATAACTTCCACTTTGGATTTGTTCATACAACCAGGGCACGAAGAGTGGTTTTGGTTGGGCCATGATGCAATCAGACTATACACACCAAACCATCAATGTGCTGCACAAACAACACAACCGAAAAGCATGCTGAAAAATCCTCCTAGTCATATACAAACTTTCACAACCACTATAAAACCCCTAAGTAAATACAGTACTTTCTGCTACGGTCAATGTTTGAATTCATGAAACGAAACTATACAGTATAATATTTTCTTACATATCACAGTTCACATTTTCATTTTAGAAATGACATATATTGGAAAGACATTCTGTATAATGAATAATATGAGCTCGGGGTTTATATAACAAACCGTAAGTATAATAACAAAAACACCATGCCATTTAATCGTCACTTCCCTTACGAAAAAGAAGTTTATTCAAGTGTGCTATTAGTATACTTCTTTTAAACTAAAAATAGGAAAGTATACTTTTAGTCTACTTTTTATGTACTTCTCAGAAATATACTTAAAATTACATTTAAGTATACTTGACTTATACTTCTAAATATATTTGAGCTATACTTGTGTTTCTAGAATGTGTGTTTTCATTGTTATACTGTAGGGGACGCTAGTACACATCTTCTGTACAGAATTTCCAAAAAACACAAGTGAAGAAGAAACCGAAACAACAGATGCTTCCGCATGTAATCTAACACGATCGCCAGACATAAAACAGCATCAAAACTGTGTAACGTTGATGTAATGTCTACCAATGAAGAGGTTATAATGACTGTCAAGCTTTGGGGTGTTGATCAACTCTATGTTTTGATTATCGTTCTGAATCCAATTCAGTTTTTTTTCAGCTTTTTGTTCAAAATGTTGTTTGTTTATTTATTTATGAAACTTACCCACATTCAAGTGTTTCAAAAAAGAATGCATGAAGCTAGAATAAAATGTGTTTGTTCACAAGCAGATGCTCTGTTCTTTCTTTTGGTGTTTTGTATGTTCATATATTTATTCATATAACAAAATATATACAAATGAATACCTAAATAGGGACATAGTAGTATACTTAAAGTATGATGTAAAGTTCACTTAAAGAAAACTTACGAGTATACTTGCAGTATACTAAACTAGTAGTTTACTGAGACTATACTTCAAAGTGTACTAAAATGCTACTACAAGTATTTAATTAGTAAACTATCAGTATACCTATAAGTTCACTTTTAGTATAGTTGCAGTACAAGCTAAACATTTTAATGTAAACTAGTTGTGTACTCAGTTTACTACTGTACTTAAAGTATACTTTTATATACTAGAAAGTGGGCCAATTTAGGATTACTGAAATAGTACACTTTCAAGTATACTACTAGTACACTGATATTTGTATACTTACTACATAAAGTAAACTTAAAAATATACTTGAACTTTACTTAATAAAATCAACTTGAAGTATGCTACTTTTTGGTAAGGGTTACCTCGAGTCCTGTGGCCTCTCTTGGGGTTTTCAGCGAACTCTTCAGATGCCAGGACGATGAGACGGGCTTGTCTGTCAGTGCTCCTTTAATACTGAACTTTTTCCCGATATTGTGCTTTACGATCAGGTGTAAGACATTACTCGGGAAATCCATGTCAGTTTCGATTTCCCATTTAGACGTCATTGCGCACGTCGCTCCAGGAGTGTCTGAGCTTAGACGGCCGCTAGATGGCGCAGACGACCATTACAATTAAATAACATGGCAAGTTTGAACAACCTGAAAATCAATAACTACATATATATTACTATTACTTGTTTCGCTTCTGTTTGAGTTTTTTATAACCATTTCTTACTATGTGTAAGTTGTTGTTTCTTAGCATGAGTGTTTTGTCATTTGATTTGTATTTTTTGTATTTATTAAAATTTTACTTACATTATGTCTGTATAGGTCTTTTATTAAGTTTGTTTTATTTAATTTGAGTTCCATTTTAATACTTCAACAAACTAAATGCAAATGAAATAATATATTGAATTTATAAATGTGTATGTACATATACAGTATGTGTGTGTGTGGTTGTGTACACACACACACACATAGTTTTTTTTTTTTTGGGTGTTTGGCTTAGTGTTATGTTAGAATCATTATTATACTCATACCTTTTGTTCTTTAATATTTTGAATATTCTTTAGCTTTATTTTTTTGTTTTTCATTTAAATGTTAAGTTTTGAAATTTTGTTGAATGCATTTGTCATGTTTATATAATCTCTATTTTTAAAATGTGTATAGGTATTTATAAAGTTTTAGTTTTGGATCTGTTTTTAGGTGTTTTAATACTACAATTGATTGCTTCTGTTGTCCTCATTTGTAAGTCTCTTTGGATAAAAGCGTCTAATTAATGACTAAATAAATAAAATAAAATAAATATAGTTGTATTAACACAATGACTTTAATAATAAACATTTCTTATTAATGCAATACAATTTTTGGGTCCCACTTTATATTAGGTGTCTTTACTATGTCCTTTTTAAAAATACAAATCAAAAATAAAGTCTAATTTCAAATAATAATAATGCCACAAAATCATGACCTGTAAGTAATATTTATGGTAGGTAATTTTTTCTTGTTAACACACAATTAGCCAGAGTGGTAGCAGTAGTAACAATAATGATGATGATAAGAGATCCAAATAAATAAATAAACAAAATAAATGCAAATGAATATATATATTGAATTTATAAATGTGTATGTACATATACAGTATGTGTGTGTGTGGTTGTGTACACACACACACACATAGTTTTTTTTTTTTTGGGTGTTTGGCTTAGGGTTATGTTAGAATCATTATTATACTCATACCTTTTGTTCTTTAATATTTTGAATATTCTTTAGCTTTATTTTTTTGTTTTTCATTTAAATGTTAAGTTTTGAAATTTTGTTGAATGCATTTGTCATGTTTATATAATCTCTATTTTTAAAATGTGTATAGGTATTTATAAAGTTTTAGTTTTGGATCTGTTTTTAGGTGTTTTAATACTACAATTGATTGCTTCTGTTGTCCTCATTTGTAAGTCGCTTTGGATAAAAGCGTCTAATTAATGACTAAATAAATATAGTTGTATTAACACAATGACTTTAATACGTTCCAGATCAGCACACTTCTCAAGATTTATATGTATTTGTTTTAGAAGGAATGTGGTGCAGAACAGAACGGAGGTGCTTAATAATGCAAAAAAATAAAGAAATGAAATAACCGTAACACACCTACTTGTATGACCTATTATGAATGTTTTCCATATTTTAGAATAATCATCAAAATTATGACCAAAAATGTCAAACCAATCAAAACTGCAGTAAAAAAAACTTAAGTTCTAATTTATAATTCTCAACAACAAAAAAAAAAATGTAAGAACGTAAGCATGTCTTTATATCAAAAGTTATTAGGGTCATGAGAAATATTATTTATATAATACAATTATTCATATAATAGGCATTTATTTATAAATATATGATTTATATAATAGGCAAGCTACTTTTGACATATTTGCACATTGATATACATTTCAGGTCGGAGTTGTACTTTCTGGTTATACTTTCTGAAAATATTCCAAACCATTTATCATCAGAAAAAGCTAGACATTTTTGACTTTTTCTAAGAAAACAAACAAAACAAAAAAGTTCCTGGCTGGAAATGCCCGTCTGCAAAGATAAGGAATGGTTAAAGAGAAGGCCGAGAGAACAAAGCATGAAAAACAACAGCAATAATAATCAATAACAGCAAAAAGAGGAACTGTAATGAAGTCATGGCCGAAGTTCAAGAAAAAGTACAAACCTTTGCATTTAGAAACTCAGGGAAGAAAGTTCTGACTTGACTGTGATTATTTCACCTGCCACACCGGTTAGGGTTAGACTTTTCAGCGTGAACCTGAGCAGAAAAGCAGCGTCTTATTTAACACAAAGTAGTTGTTGATGGTTTTATTTGTTTGTCAAATACAGGGATAGTCCATGTACAGAAGAACCAGAAGATTTTTGTCAAGAGCTGTACAATATTTACACAAAGGCTTTACTTTTGAAAGAAGCACAGTATTAGATTGTTCCAAAAGAATACTCAGAATACAGACAAACAAACAAAAACAAATTTCCATTTTAAATAGTACTAATACATAATCCCTCCCTAATGGGAACCAGATGCTTCGCTCTCGCTTTCAATTCCATTTATTTTCTCTGTAGAATGCACTGCAATAATACCGTTTTGCGTAGCTTGAAATGGTTTGTTCTACTCGGTCTTTCTCTTCGTTAACAGATCAAAACGATAATACATTTTCCATGGTGTCTACCCACCTTTGATGAGCAAAAAGGAAGACCGCTCAGAATGTGGCAATAAGATCCATGTATAACATCTGAACAAATATTATTTGAACCGTTTTATATGAAGCATCACTGGTTTGTATTGTACGTGCGAATTGCTGTTAAAAAATGTCTTTATAAATAATAAAACTGCATTACTTTAGCTTGTTTCACGTGTGGAGACTAAAGCGTTGAATGTCATCACATGTCGTTGCACGCATCTTCCCATGACTGCTTTCCCTTCTGCACTCGTTTCAGAAACCCTAACCTGAAATAAAACTGCTATTGTCTTAAAAAATTATTCGTGTAAAATTCAGTAACAGATTTCCTCCTAAAGTCGGCACGAAGCGGACTCCTCCCGTCAGTTATTCCCGCGACGAATCGGTCGATTCGAAAGTATAAAGACTTCACACAGTATATTCCTTCAACCGTAGCTCCATGGTTCCGTGTACCATTTCCTTCGGATTCAGTGAAAATTCGGTCAAATCTGATCTCAGTTTAGTCACATCCATATGCCTGAACGCTCAGGACGGATCCTGCGTTTTTGCAGACGTTTGTAAAGAGTTAATAAAGTCTGGCGGCAACCTGCTGGGCTCGTCGCCCGGTCCTCTCCTGTCGCCGTTTAAAAGAAACATTTCTGTAAAACCGAGGAGGAGGAGGACAGGAGAGCTAGGCAACAATAAATCCAGCTTCTTTATACACCAAGGCCTCCTTGATTCCTCAACGTTTCTCTTTTTTCATGCTCCCCCGTCCTTTCTTGTCTTAAGCTTTGGTGCTGAGGGTCATCAGCTCTAAGAAGGAGCTGAAGAGCGTCTCCAGCCAGCTCTGATTGGCCATGCACTGCTGAACAACTTCCTCTTGTCCAGGATCTTCTGAAGCCTGCTCTATAGTGTTCGTCTAAAAGAAAAGAGAGAACTTCAATGCAGATTTGCATTGCATTTGTTTACTGCAGCTGCTTATGGGAAATATAGTTCGATCCTTACCTCTTTCTTACAGTGTAAGAAGGTATGATATTTATAATGATGCAGCGAATGGTAGAGACTGTAGAGTCGACATGTTTCTGTTGACAACTTGAGGTCCTGGAGGAGACCGGAATGGTGACATTAGTATTAGACTTCTTTTATTGTTTCTACATTGTCCCTGTTAATTATTAGGGCTGTCACTGGAGTCAAAATATTTGTATATTTATTTTATTATATAATGTGCTGCTCATGTTCTGCAAGTAAAACCAAGTATGATACTATTACAAGCAGTGTTGGGGAAAGTTACTTTTAAAAGTAATGCATTACAATAATGCGTTACTCCATAAAAAAGTAACTAGTTACGTTACTTAGTTACTTTTTATGGAAAGTAATGCATTACGTTACTTTTGCGTTACTTTTTAAATCTGGACAGGGCTTGCTTGTTTGTTTTTTAAATAAACAAGTTCTATTTTTGACAAATATAAACGCTTTTCACACCAAAAGTGAAATGAATCAGCCTCAGGCTGAAGGGAAAGTACATTTACGTCCGTACAGTAGAATGCAGAAGACATTTCAACACACTTCAGCAATAAAAAAAGACACAAATGTTTGTCTAGAGTAACTTGTGCTTATTAGTATGGCTGAACTGGATCATCGAAGGTCAAAAGCAAAGACATTGGTTAACAGAATGGGATTAAATACATAAAGGATATTTGTGTTGTTTAAGATTTAATTATTGCAGGTTTGCGTCATATTCTGAGCTGCGTTTATTTTTATTCAATTTGAGGAATACTGAATCTGTGTTTTTTTTTGTGAGTGAGATGAATTAATGCATATTCATATTTATTTTAGAACTACAGTAACATCTGATTTCTCTCAACATGGCGACACCAGAGCTGTCAGTCAATAAATTGAAATAAAAAGTAACTTGCGTTACTTATTTGAAAAAGTAACTCAGATATTCTCTTGTAAACTAAAAAAGTAATGCGTTACTTTACTAGTTAAAGTAATCTGATTACGTAACTCGTGTTACTTGTAATCAGTGTTGGGGGTAGTAACGCATTACAAGTATGCATTAAGTTTATAAAATAATTTCAATCATTCAAACTCAAATATTGCACGTCCATTTATTGACTAATAAAATACGCAACTATTCAAAAGGGTTGCGGAGATATTTTTGAAAGATGTCTCTTATGCTCACAAAAATACAGTAGAAATTGTAAAAATTAGTACAGTAAAAATTACCCAGTAATATTGTGACATATTACAATTTAAAATGTTATTTCTGAATATATTTCAAAATGTAATTTATTTCAAATGATGCGCAGCTGAATTGTCAGCATCATTACTCCAGTCTTCAGTGTCACATGATCCTTCAGAAATCATTCTAATATGCTGATTTACTGCTCCAGAAACGCTTCTTATTAATATCTCTGTTAAAAACAGTTGTGCTGTTCAGTATTTTTGTGGAAACAGTGATACTAAAGCAATAAGCCTCAAGAAGCTGTGGTTTACAGTGAATTTATAACAGCTAAGGGGCGTTGATAGGCACGACGCGAAGCAGAGTTATTCCAAAACGCTTATTCTGTAACGGAGCAAATAAAGTGTAATGATATTAATAAAAACAGTACTCTTCCACAAAACAATGTAGTTCCTCCGAAACAGTTGTGGTTGCAACAAAGTGGTTGCAGAGAAACACACAAAGTGAACAAAGCTGTGTGTTTGTAGAGTAATTTACAACAGCTTCGAACGCAGCTCAACCAATCAGAATCAAGGACCGGAACTAGCCGTTTTATAAATTGTTTTTCTTGAATTGTCACTTTTGATCAATTTAATGCAGCCTTGATGAATAAAAGCATTCTTTAAAAAAACAAGAACAACAAATAAATAAATCAATTGATTAGAAATTAACAGCCCTATTAATTCTATTTAAAAATGAAGGGGGTGGGGCTATGGGAAGCTGCCATAATCAGATCCGATTCAGAGGTCTGCAGCCAAAAAAAATGTAGGTTTTTTTGACCTGTGGTTTGGGAACACTCTTTTTGATGCGGTTCAGGGTTTTGCGGTTGTAGCATTCACCACCCAGTCTGACCCTCACCGTCCCCGAGTCCAGGGTCTCCGCTGTTATCTGAGGGCAAGTGTGAAGAGCTTCCTGTGGAGCAGAAACGGAAGGAACTTCAGCGAAGAATGGTTGCAACAGGGTTCACACAAGGTCTGTAAAATGCTTGAATTTAGAAAACTAAACATTAAACTCTTCATTTAAATGTAAAAGGCATATGTGGATTCAGTTTGCACACAAGAAACAAATGTATTTCTGTCATGACAACCCTCTGAGAGTTTAGCATGGTAATATATAGGGCTGGGTTTTGACACAAATTTCACAATTCGATTCGGATTCACAAGCTTGCGATTGAATTCAATTTCCGATTTGATTCAATTCAGTATCAATTTTTTTGGATATATATCAGGTATAGTAAATGCCAAATTTTCTCAAAGAAAAAAAAAAATATCTCGACTAATGCTGTAAAATATTCAGTTTGGCACTATATCACTGTAATACTGAAGGTTGAAATGAACTGATTTGCATACAAACGCTTAAATTACACTCAATTAAGTTTTTATAATAATAAAAATACAATTACATAATTCTATTTCTACTCCAATTTGTTTTTTGAAATAAACATTTAAATTGTGGCTGTCATAAAAACTTGACAGATTTAATCAAACATAAATTAAACATTGAAGAACAGTAAAAATTATAATGAATATGTTATATGGTGCATATATTTAGCAAAATGCTCCTCTCTAGAATTCATTTTTCTAGCTGCCTAACAAGCGTGTGGTCATTGAATATGTTTTTTCGGAGGTCAATGTGACATTACGTGACATTGCTTACAAGCTGTTATATTGACATCTTTCTGCCGTTGAAACACTGATTGAGCAATTATGAGACAGGATATGGATTTCGTTAAGTTGTACTCTTTTAACATACCTTCGGGTGTTCATTCATGTTTATTTCGAGCTGAACCTGGTAACATATATGACATACATGAAATCACACCATAGCAGATCAATAGAGGTGGAGCTGGGGAAGGTGGAGGATTTTTCAACAAGCACTAGCCAAGTATTTGAATGTTGAGCAGCAAGCATATTGGCTGCTGATGCGAAAAGAAACCAATCAAGCTGTGCCATGTGAATGATGAAATTATATATGTGCCATCTAGAGTTTCATGACAGAATATGAATATGTATGTATATATATATATATATATATATATATATATATATATAATATGTATGAATATGTATATATAATTTGTATATGTTGGAAAAGTGTAAAAAGTCTGACATCGGTGATATTCAGAATTACAGTAACAGTGATTACGATCTAATCGTAGTATGTCACAGATTGCCTCGGATAAATAAGTATCTTATGCTGTAGATGCTTCCGGGTTCACGCTCCACTCAGTCATGCGAGTTTAATGCTTTACTGTGCAGTTTTGTAACCATGTTCAATATCAGTTTGTGTCTGAAATGAGTTAAAACGCATAAATGAATATCTGTGAGTCTCTCTCTCTGCTCTTTTTAATTATCCAGCAACTAAAAATGATCGGTGAATTCTTGTTGTGAATTTACAATGCAAAACACTATACATAATGCAATTAGTGTCTAAAACAAGAGAAATTATTAACAGTCTCCAAAGGAATAAGCACTCATCACACAGTAATTTCTAAACAGTGGGTAAATCAGCATACTGAATAATCAGCAGAAGGCTATTATTCTGAGATTTTAAAGTGTAGGGTGTATTTCATGACATTACAGGTGCTCAAGGCTGCCATCTACTGTCTGCATTTATTTGTTTATTAAGTATTTTATAAAGACTTTTAACTTGATATATATTTTGTCCTTAGTGTGAATTCTTTTTATATATTATTTATATTTATTATTTTCTATAAAGAACAAAGACAACGAGAAATAATGAAACTACGAAAACCATTATATGAAGTCCTTGAAAAAAAAATGGTGCTGGAAAAAGTGCTTGAAAGTCCTTGATTTTCAAAACGTGGTCCCCGTATGAACCCTGTTGCTAAGGGACACGAAAGAGAAACTGAGCAATTGAATAAAAAAAATCAAGCAAGCACAAATAATAACGTGAAGTACCTGGTGCTGAGAGTTCATATTGACTCTTTTCAAAAGCTTCCTCTTCTGCTCACTGAGAATGCTGTCAATCTTGCGCATTGGAGGAAGATATAATTCATCTGAAATAGCCAATAATGCAAAAAGAAGTGAATTTCATCTTCTGGTTTGGTAATGACAGAGCGCTAGTTTGTTTGAGAGGTAATCATATTCACTTACCTTCTGTGTCCTCTAGAGCCTGAATCATGTCTGGGTCAAGTGCCGTACTGACCAGCATCTCCACGTAGCTCCGGTACATCTCACGCATTGCACGTGTGTTCAGGCCTACTTTGACTGAGACTGCTGGACAGACACACATCAAGTTATATTCACATCAACACACGATCATAACTGCACACTGCCTGCTATATTATGTCACATGACTGGGGTTTTTTTTTTTTATGCGTAAAAAGTCATTTTGCATTATAGTTGCACAAAATCAAATCACATTTCAGTCCACAATCAAAAGGGAAAAAAAGAATTTATATTTTACAAATTAACCAGACCAAGACCAATTTTATATTTTTCAGACATTTTTATGACAGTTATGACTTCCACAATTCCTACAAAATTCTGATAATAGTAATGCACATAAAGGTTTTCATTTTTTTTATATATATATATATAGTGCAGTAACACTAAAAAACAATGATATATAAACATTTTAGAAATAAAACATATCAAATAATAAGATTATATGTTGAAGATTAAGATTTTGCAATACAATAATGAGAAATAAAGTCAAAGAAAAAGAAATAATCACGACAAATTTTACATATTATTCAAATATTTTATTTACTAATTTTATTTTTTAGGGGCTTTTTATTTTTTATTTGTGTGTTACAATGTTGCATGTTGTTGTATGTTGAAGTTGAACTGAACTATAGGCTTTTCTTTTCTATGCAAAACAATTTCCTAATTTTTGTCTTTTGATTTCAGGGTAAAATATGATCTATGAATATAGTTTATGGGTGTATTCACACCGGTCTTGTTTGGTTCGACTGAATCGAACTCAAGTTCATTTCCCTCTTTGGTGCGGATCTTTTGGACAGGTGTGAATATGCTATATTATGTCACCTGGCTGGGGGTTTTTTTTTTTTTAAAGCGTAAAAAGTCATTTTGCATTATAGTTGCACAAAATCAAGTCACATTTCAGTCCACAATCAAAAGGGAAAAAAAGAATTTATATTTTACAAATTAACCAGACCAAGACCAATTTTATATTTTTCAGACATTATTTTTATGACAGTTATGACTTCCACAATTCCTACAAAATTCTGATAATAGTAATGCACATAAAGGTTTTCATTTTTTTTATATATATATATATAGTGCAGTAACACTAAAAAACAATGATATATAAACATTTTAGAAATAAAACATATCAAATAATAAGATTATATGTTGAAGATTAAGATTTTGCAATACAATAATGAGAAATAAAGTCAAAGAAAAAGAAATAATCACGACAAATTTTACATATTATTCAAATATTTTATTTACTAATTTTATTTTTTAGGGGCTTTTTATTTTTTATTTGTGTGTTACAATGTTGCATGTTGTTGTATGTTGAAGTTGAACTGAACTATAGGCTTTTCTTTTCTATGCAAAACAATTTCCTAATTTTTGTCTTTTGATTTCAGGGTAAAATATGATCTATGAATATAGTTTATGGGTGTATTCACACCAGTCTTGTTTGGTTCGACTGAATCGAACTCAAGTTCATTTCCCTCTTTGGTGCGGATCTTTTGGACAGGTGTGAATACAGCAATCGCACTCGTGTGTGCACCAAACAACCGTACAGAGACCCAGCTGAAGAGGTGGTCTCGGTCCGCTTCCAAATGAACTCTGGTATGGTTGAATGGATGAACCAATGAATGGATGACCTTAAGCACACGTGTGGTTTTGTTTACAGTTTCTGGTTCACTTGCAAAAAGGGCAGTGCGAAAGCGAACCGCACCAAACAAAAAAAATCAACATTGTATTTGGTCCGGACCAAAGCAAGCGAACTAGCGGACTTTCCTGGTGAGAACTCACCCTAAAGAGAATGATCTATTTTTATACAAAACTTTTACAATGCAAATGTCTTAAAAGGTTAGTTCACCCTAAAATGAAAACTCTGTCATTACTGAAGGTGAACTAACCCTTTAATGATAAATAAAAATGCACATTCAAGATGACTGCAATGTTAATTCGTCACATAAGAAACGTACATTGCACATCTCGGCAAATGGATGCCATACATTTTAAAAGTAAACTCACTTTCATCCTCACTTGCGGAGGAGTCCGAGTCGGAGGATGAGGGTACTTCCTTCAGCCACATCCTGCGTTTCTTAGGCGGAGGTTCAGCCTTCACCTTTGGTGGCTGAGGTTTGGCAGAGCGTTCAGTCTTCTTCTCCTGTCCACCGCTCCTCTTCTCCTCCTTCACCTTCCCTCGTTCTGTCACCGCTGCTCGTTTCTCAGGCTTCTGAGGTGGCAGAGGAGGAGGTGAAGCTTTCTTTTCTTTCGCTTTCTTTTCTTCCTTCTCCTTGGTTTTAAGCACTTTTTCTCTGTCCCGCTGTTCCTTTGGCCGAACATTGTTCTTCTCACGGCTTTCACCTGGCTCCTTAATCTTCTCTTGGTCTTTTTCAGTCCTCTCTAAAGGAGTCTGGTTGTTGGGGGGTGGCGCTAACTTCGGAAGAGTTTGAGACTGTCTCCTACAAAGTAAAAAACAACACCTTTATCAAGCAAGCATGTCAAAAGTACAAAACATGCTAATTACCCTACCGTAGATGAATAAAAATAAGGGCTATATTAGCGTCCACACCAACATATGACAGCGTGCCGTTTATTACATGTATGCTGCAATAGCAGCGTCTGCCACTTTAAACGCTCAAGCTCTTTAAGGTTGGGTGGATTCTAATTGGCTGTCAATGTTTTTATCCTTGAGCAGCTGGAAAAAAATTTCTGAAAATGATTCCAATGATATAGTTCCTCTATATCAGGGATCCTCAAATCTGGCCCACGAGATCCACTTTCCTGCAGAGTTTAGCTCTAACCCTAATCAAACACACCTGAGCATGCTAATCAATGTCTTCAGGATCATTAGAAAATCACAGGTAGCAGAGTTTGATCTGGGTTGGAGCTAAACTCTGCAGCGCATTGGACCTCCAGGGCAAGATTTGAGGAACCCTGCTCTATATCCTTATTTTTATAGTTGTGGTGTGGATTTTCCTGTTCTCTTAAAAGGGATAGTTCACCCAAAAATGAAAATTACCCCATGATTTACTCACCCTCAAGCCATCCTAGGTGTATCAAAGTTATATAAAAAAATGTCCTGGCTCTTCCAAGCTTTATAATGGCAGTGAATGGTGGTCGAGATTTTTAAGCAAAATAAAGTGCATCCATCCAGGTTAATAAAGGCCTTCTGAAGCGAGGTGGTACATTTGTGTAAGAAAAATATCCATTTTTAAAACCTTTTAAAAATAAAAGTTTTAAATATGGATATTTTTCGTACACAAGCGCATTGATTCACTTCAGAAGGCCTTTATTAAACCTCCCGGAGCTGTGTGGAGTACTTTTTATGATGGATGGATGCACTTCAAAAACCTCGTAACATTAAGTGTCTGATCATATATAAAGCCACAATACCAACTCTGACGACGCTGTTTAATTACTAAAAAAAATTTCCTGAAAGTGGTAATGCTTTTGGACACACAATGTTTCCGCTCGACAGTGACGATATGTAAATTTGTTGTTTTATCATCACCAACAACATAAAGCTACCTATGACCTTGTGTTCCTACCTGACTTAAGCTCAAGTTTCACATGAAATGTAAGTACTACTTTTAATATAATATCCAGTTTTAATATGTCATTTGAAGCAATGCGTGTTTGTTAAATTTTGCTATATTTCAGTGCTTAGTGGTGTGCTGTGGGATTTCTTTACTGATCAAAACTGCGCCGTGGCTAAAAAAAAAAGGTTCTAGACCACCATTCACTGCCATTATAAAGCCTGGAAGAGACAGGACATTTTTTATATAACTCCGACTGTATTCGTCTGAAAGAATAAAGTCATATACACCTAGGATGGCTTGAGGATGAGTAAATCAAGGGTTAATTTTCATTTTTGGATGAACTAGAATGGATGAAGTAGTATGATTATTAAAGCATTATTGTTATGGTCTTTGGTATGAACAGCCCTTTACATTGTAACATTTACACAGACAAATTGGATGTGTCTGAAATCTGAAAAATGCTGCCCTCACATGTAGTACAATGAGGCAACACAATAAGTGAATCTAACGTTTGTGCAACATCCCATCTATTAAGATGCCCTCATATGGTGGGCTTTATAAGAGATATCATATATGCCTATGATTTCTCACAATCCTGTGCATGCAGTTCAATGGCTGGTGGAAATAAATAAATATAAATAAATAAATATATATATATATTTATTTATTGCTGGAAAGAAAGTAAATTTGGAATCTGAAAGGAGTAAAGTAACAGTATCAATAAAGCTCATTTGAAGCTGTTCTAGATCATTAGACAATTCGTTGTCATTGCTTCATTGACTTGACAAGACAGCAAGATAAAGGGGTTGAAATACCTCAGGTTGACAGCCCTGTGCCAGGGCTTACGAGAACAGACCCTCACGTAGTCTTTTTTGTTTATGTTTTCCAGAAACTTCCCATACAGCCGCTGGTAGCGCTTTTTGGCATCCCCGAAGTAACCCAGATACTGAGAGGAAGCAGAGAGGAGAAGGGGACAAAAGAGGACACAACATTTAGAAACTTATAGTGACAACTTAAAATACAAAAACAAAACAAAGCACACAGAATCACCAATCACTTAAAGTTGTGCTGATAAATACTGTACTATCCAATGAGTACAGTTCACATTACTACATCATTTACATTTATGCATTTGGCAGATGCTTTTATCCAAAGCAACTTTGCATTCAAGGTATACATTTTATCAGTTCATGCATTCCCTGGGAATCGAACCCATGACCTTGGTGTTGCTAGCTCCAAGCTCTACTGTTTGAAATACAGGAAGGCTAGATTTGAACAATTTCTGAAGAAAATGTGAGTGATGCTTAATGCCACAATGCTAGGGTGTTCTGTGGTTGCCATGATGTTGCTTTGCAGTTACAAAGGTGTTATAAATGGTAGTTTGATAATGTGCTGCGTAGGTGAATGGGATTAGCCTGTTTTATTTTCCATCAGACAAAAATAGAAAGTCTGATAATTCTGAAAATTAATAGTAACTTTACAAGTAGAAATTTTGTAAAATCACAATAATAACAGTGATGCTTGCCATGGCAAACAGCACTATTAAGTAAGAAGTGAACCTATAGAACAGAAGAAATAGCTGAAACATTGTGTGCTGCTTTTTTACAAATGATGTGATTGGTCATGACTCACATTACTAGTGGCACAAAACTGTCTTTGTCCATCCTTAATCTCGGGGGAAAACTTCTGTAGCAGAGCTTTCTGTACACGCCAAATGGGAGGGGGCTCTCGTCCTGTCTGCAGGGCCAACTAGGGAGACACTCAAAATTAAACCTACATACCACATCACATTATTTATCTGCACATATGTATTATACACATGCTGACTAAGATCTAAAAAGAAAGAGAATGGACTGCTGTACCTTCAGACTCCTGATGTCCTCAATTCGCACCACAAACTCATCTCTCTCTCTGAAAATACCCTCGCCTCCACTCTCACTCTCATCCTCATCAGTCTCACCAACAATGGCAGCGCCGCTCTGTTTCTGTGCCAAGTGCAATGGTAGAATTTGAGGCGCAGGGGGCTCTTCAGGAGAGGCGGGCTCTGCAATGGACTCCTGTACCAGAGGTGGACTGGGCGAATGTGGGCTAGAGAAGAGAGCAGGCTCTACAGGAGGAGGAGGTAGAGGAGAGAGGACAGGCACAGAGGAAGCCACAGGACTGAGTGGAGGCGATTTCTGAGAGGGGGAAGGATTGTCCTCCAGTGGAGGGACAGGAGAGGGAAGGGGGAGGGGTGAAAGCGGTGATGGCGAGGAGGTGGAGGAGGGAGCATGGGATGATGGGGAAACTGGGAGAGAAGGGGGAGCTTGGGCTTCAATAGCTTCTTTGAGTGAGTCTGCAAGAGAGAACGGTACTCTTAAATTTTCAACCACCCACAGTATTAACAAAATAACAGCAAGTGTTAAATTGTGTCTTAATAATGCCCTATTTTAACAAGGCACAGGTGTTTGTGAAGCTGCTTAAGTCATCCTACTTTCCAAAAATGACCCTCACCTCCAACTTTGGGGACATTCAGCAGCTCCATATCTGAGACTTTCTCTTTCTCTTCTTTGTCTTGCTCCACTTCCTCTTCTAGATCCTTCTCTTTTTCTTCCATTTCTTCTTCCTGCAATCTTGCAGGCTCAACGGAGTGGGTGTGGGCATGTGAGGGCGAGTGTATATGCAGTGGTGGTTGAGGGCTGAGGGCTGGTGGCTGCTGTGTTGGTGTCAGTGGTTCAGGAGGAGGTGGTGGAAGTGAAGGAGGCTGCATTGTAGAGGTGAGTTGAGGAGTGTCATACAGGGCAGAGATAGCAGAGGAGATGCTCTTTTGCAGGTCCTGGTTCTTTCCGACGGAGTCCTCCTCATCGGACGAGAAAGAGGGCAATGTCTCAAGGTTCCTTTTCAGCTCTTCATCCAAACGCTTGCATGGGCTAGGACAGCCACCCAAAGACAGTCCTCCATCACTTTCACCATCTCCATATCCAGATAAAGCAGCTGGGGGAGGTGGAGGTTGAGGAGATAATGGGCGAATGCCTCCAATTTTCCCAGGAGAGGCATCTTCATTTCCAGCGCTGTCAGCTGACCCCGTTGACAATCCTGATGGCCTTTTTCCAGACTTTAGAAAATCCAAAAATGAGGCAACAAAGCCAGTCTTCTCTGACTCTTTCTCTTCCAACTAAATATGAAGTGACAGAATTTTTCATTAGATCAAAATGTAAAAACATGCTCACAAACACAGCTCTGGGATCTACACTGCATTCTCATACCTCTTGGGATTTGGACTTCTTGTCTTGAGGTCTGTTCATGTCAGGAACTCCGGGAGTCCCAGGGCTCAATCCCAAAGAGGGTGCTGAACCAAGGGAACCATCTGAGAGAGCCGGATCAGTGCCTGACAAGGAGTCTGTCCGCAACAAGGCATCAGAAGATGGCATGGTTCCAATAGGAAGTTTAATCTAATAAAGGGAAACAAGACATTATAGAAAATAACCTGGAACATGATCAAAGCAGATGTCCCATCATTCAAAAACTACTAGAGATGCACCGATAATAAAATTCTGGCAGACACTGATAAGCTGATTAGAGGTCGACTGATAGTGGATTTTACCGATACCGATAGCTAGGTTGGACCCCACTGGCCGATACCGATTAATCAACCGATAGTTTTTAAAAAGGATACTGTATGGAAACAAACAAAAAAATAAAACAGTACTGAAGCATTCTTTGTAAATGAACAAAAATATTAATATTAAATATAAATTATATATTGATCATTAAAATTAATTCATGGTTAATTAACTTGTTAATTAATGGACGCAACTAGGAAAAAACTATCGGCATGGATTTTTGCCGATAGCAGATAGTTTCGGCAATCAACTACCGGTGCCGATTAATCCGCAAAACCGAAACATCGGTCGACCTCTAAAGCTGATAATTATTTTAATGTTATGGCTCATAGAGAGCATGTAATATTAAATATCCAATACTGAACAAAACTGTTTCAAAAAACTCTAGTATCGCCCAATAACTGATATGGTCCCAATATATTGTCCATCTTCAACTACAAATGTTTGAACTCACATCAACCTCTCTAAAATTTTATATTTGTATATTATAATTTTTTACATTTGAACCGCTTACCTTGATGGGTTTTATTGGCTCCTCATGCTGTGGCTGCTGCTGTGATTGGTGATGCATTTGCTGCTGCATGTGTTGTTGATACATCTGATTCGGGTCTTTATTGGCCATCTCCATGTCCATCATAGATTCATCCCGTCTGCCTCTGCCTCTGCCTCTTCCTCGGCCTCTGCTTCTTTCAGGAACATATCCTGTTCCATACTCTCCCATCATACCCCTAGAGTGGTGAGGTTCTGGCAATGGGCGTAAACGTGGGCGTCCACGTGGCCTTGGAGGTCCTTCTCGTTTAGGCTTTGTGGGCTTCCTGCCTCTTTTCTTCTGTCCATCTTGTGGCATCAACTGCGGAGGGGGACCAAGAGATGGGTATCCAAAATCTAGATCACCCATTAAAGGGCTTAAAGTTCCCCCTCCCACACCACTTGATTTGCGACAACTGGACACAAGGTCTGGTATGAGATCAGGAAGTCGGCTTCGGCTGTTGAGGCGAATGTCAGCTGGGACATCAGCCTTATCCTCGTCATCTTCAAATTCATACTCCTGTGCATAGCTCTTCTTGGGCAAGGAGTTTGGATCAGGTCTTTCCTTCAGTAGATGGAAGGAACTTGACTTAAGGAGCTTCTTTGGGCGAGAGGAACAGAAGATAGGAGAGGTAAGACCCCCTGATCCAGACCCAGATCCCCCAGTACCTCCCATTTTGGCAACAGATCCTTCCCCCACTGTTCCAGTTGTCCCCATTCCAAGGTTGGCTGGTTGAGATTGGATCAGTCCAAGCTGCTCTGTATTGACTGTAGATGGGAGCTCTTGAGTCTTCAAGGAGTCAAGATCCAAATGCATGGTTCCACTGTCAGGTTCTGAGAGATCATGGCAATATTGCCCATATCCTTGGTCACTGTGATGACCAAGCATATCATAACTTGGACCTGTATTGTCTCCTCCTCCAGGCATTGGTTTAATTCCTTCCTGCACTGCTTGGCCAGTTGCAACCCCATCTTGACCCTGCCCAGTTCCTCCTGAGCAAGTGGATTTGTACTCTGTGCAGAACATATCCTCCATTCCAGGAAAGAATGAACGGTCCTCATCTGGGAGAAGAGAATCAGGGAAGCAGATGGATGTTAACGGAACAAACCTCTGGCTCTGTTGGCTTTGATTTGATTTCACTGCTGGATTCCTGGAGTCAAAGTGGGGCTCTCCTTGATGCTGGTCAAGCTGAGGTTGAGGAATCTGGGAGGTGTGAGAGGGGTGAGACTGCTCTTGTTGCTGAGAAGCTGCTGAGGAGGCCTGTGGAGGAAGATGATGATGGCTCTGTTGATTAGGATGGGAGGGGTGAGGGTGTTGATGGTGGGAGTTAGAATGTTGAGGACCTTGTGACGATTGTTGCTGTTGGTGGTGATGGTGGGATAGGTGGTGTCCATGAGAAGTAGTTGATAAACTCATGTCTGGCTCAGGAAGATATGAGTGTAACTCTGAAGCATGATGCTGCGTTGGGTGGTGAGATGAAAGTCTTTGTTGCTCCTGTGATTGGCGCCTTTCTACACTTCCTGCTGTTGCAGCTCCAGAATTTCCCCTGCTTCCTTCACCTCCTGTCCTCTCGTCCACCATTGCTCCCTCTTGGCTAGATGTCCGAGAGAGGGAATGCTCCAGCATGTCTAGTGAAGACACTGTGTTAGACTTAGGGCGGCTCTGGTCTTGCTGCTGGGTACCATGACCATAGTGACCAGCTGCTTCCAAAGCCTGGGACTGAAGCTGGAGTTGGAGCTGGGATGTCTGGGGTTGGGAATGGGTCTCTGCTGACACAACTCCCCCAGTGGCTTCCATAAGGGACTGCTGGCTTACAGAATGCTGCTGTTGCTGAGGGTCTGTTTTGCTGCGGGTGTGGGACAACACAGACTGCAACAAATGAGGGGGTTGGCGAGACTGGTCAGTGGGAGAGTCCATAAGTGGCTGTGACTGGGAGTGACGTTGTTGAGGATGTGACTGATGATGCTGAGTTTGCTGTTGATGTGCCTGTTGATGCTGATGTTGCTGCACATCAGGTGTCTTACGCATGTAAGCCATATCTCCTGAATCTTGAGTTTTTTTCTGAGGATCCATGTGCGGGTGAGAGTGTAGGTGTGGGTGCGTGGGTGTATGTGGAGTGTGTTGATGGTGGGTGGTGGATTGTTGAGGAATTGAGTGTTGGGAATACGGGTCATCCCGCACATAGTGCACCACAGATCCCAGAGAATCATGATGATGGTGAGGATGGGAATGTGTTTGATCTGAACTCCCTTGTCCTCCATCACTTACAGTTCTGTTGCTTTTCTGCTGTGGTTGTTGTTGATGTTGTTGTTGGTGCTGTTGCTGTTTCTTTAGGGACATCTCCAACTGACTGTCCAGTCCAGCTCCACTCCCTGTGTCAGAGACAGCAGCATTAGAGGTGGCACTATGTGTTCGAATAACACTTTGAAGGTGGTACCTCTCTTCTGAGCTTTTGCTCATCTCATAAGCAAGCCCCTTATTTCCATCCTGAGCCTGAAGGACTGGAGGCTGCTGGGTGGGCTGTATGGAATGATGGCTTTGAGGAGGATGGTGATGGGATGCTTGAGGAGCAGGACTCTGGGCTTGAAGAAGGTGCTGGATGAGGAAATCATCATCAACATCATCGTCCTGTTGTGACCTAGACTCTGTTACACCAAGTATGCTGTTATCAGACTTTGTTTTGGGAGGAGCAGAGGGGTGATAGGGTTGTGATCGAGGTCCTCTTGTGTCTGGGTACCCTTGTGGAGAAGGCAGAAATGAAGGTGAGAGAACAGAAGATAGATATTTGTTGGATCCTGTTCCAACAGGTGACTGAGCAGGTCGTGAAGGTGCAGGAGAATGCAGACCAGGACGGATGATTCCAGAATTGCCAGATGGAGATGGACTTGAATCAGGGATGTGGTAAGATCCACCACCTCCTCCACTACCACTGGCTCCAGTTCCTGTACTGCCTCCACTACTACTACCACCAGTTGTTCCACCACTTGCTCCTGACCTAAGAAGGGCAGGAGAGTGTCCTGATGCACCATAACCCATTGAGGGACTTCCAGCACCCCCTAAAGATGGTGGCAGAGACCCATAACCTGAATCAGTCCCATATACTGCTTCTGCTGAAAACGACTGACTTCCCAAATTCCCATACCCTTTAGCCACTCCAGAGGTCCTAGCTGAAGGAAGATCATGAGTCTGTGGAGAACTGAATCCCCCATATGACTGGGAAAGGTGTGATGGGGGAGGCTGACTTGGAGAGAAAGACTGGGGTTGTGGATGAGGAGGGGTCTGGCCCGTTAGACCACTCGATGACTTGACTGGAGCAACTGGTGATCCATAACCCGAGAGGCATGACTTGGGAAGGGTTTGCTGGGTGGAATTAGAGGTGCTCTGAGGGGCCTGGGAATGTGACTGGGGTGGAGGAGGTACAGTCTGGGTTGGTGGCTGTTGTCGAGAGGATGCAGAGGCAGAAGTGGAGGTTGGAATGGAATTAGACTGACGAGCACTAGCAGATGCAGAGGAGGAGGAAGAGGATGAAGACGAGGATGAAGCTGAAGAGGCAGAGGGTGGTGTGTGGGGGGTTCTGGAAGAGGATGCAGATCCAGAAGAGGAGTAACCACTACTAGAGCTGCTCTTTGTCCCCTTTCCAGTCCCACCAGAGGATGAGGATGACGAGGACCCATAGGAAGGTTGGATTATTGGTCTATACTGTTCAGTCCTGGGGGAGGGTTTATGGTCTGAGGAAGGACTGTGTTCACCTAGGGGACTGCAAGAGAGGCCAACATGGCGCGTATGAGTGGCTTGCTGATATCCTGACATCCCACAGCTAAGGTAGTGCTGAAGAGGGTGAGGGTTGGATGAGGGGGCTTGTGCTGGAGAGGGACGTTGGTAGTGTTTAATTACACTGTCTTGTCTTGGTACTGTCCGCTCTTGGGATGTTGGCTGAGGTGGAGCAGGGGTAGAGGAAAACACAGAGGCACTGTACAACTGGGAGGACTGGTCTTGAAGCTGGGAGGACAACAAGTTGAACTGATGAGACGGCATATGGCGGGCAGAAACTGAGGCTGCAGAAGAGGCTTGTGCAGATGTGACCCCACCCCCAGTTGGATCATGACTTCCACGGTAGGCCACAGCTGCACCCTGTGATGACAACAGGCGGTCAAAGCCAAGGCTTGATTGTGAAGGTGTCTTGATGTGGAGTAAAGGATCATGGGGTGACAGGAGGCCATTGGAGGTGGGGCTGAAAGTGGGCGTGTCCTGTAAGGACAATGAGGGGGACACACCAGGAAAGGACCGCCCTGAGAATGGCGCTGGGTGCTGATAGGCAGACAAAGCAGAAGAGGATGGGAAGGATCCAGATCCAGGAAGGGCACCAGAGATGAAAAGCTCTGCAGGGGCAGGTGTGTGCATGGCTAGAATTTGGAGAGAGAGAAAAAAAAACACAGAAATGACAAAAGCTAAGGCTAAGAAAATATACTAAAATAATAATTTAAAAAACGTAGTAAGTACAAAGACAATACTGGCTTTCCACATCTGTGCACACTGAGTTATTACAAGAGCCAATTAACATTTTTTAATATGTGGCTTACAAGTTGTTGCTATGGCAACAGTGTTGGCAGTGCTGGCTGAATGCACTTACAGTTTACCAGCATTTCCTCTTTATATTCTATACATCTGATGCAAACAGTGACTGTGCATTCTTGATCTGATGCTTATCAAATATGTTATTTAATTTATTTGTACGTTATTCAAATATACCTATGCAAAATTCATACAACTCAGTAAGCCAAGCTTACCAGTCTGCCATGATGGAGTGCGAAACTGAGATAGGAGGGATGAGGCAGATGGAGGTGGCTGTGGACCCCGGGACTCTAGTGCAGATATAAGGTTCATAACTGATGGATCTGGGCCTGACGGACTTGCGTGGTGCAGCCCAGCATCAAAAAGTCCAGACAGGCCTAAGAAAAACATACATGGAAAAACAAGCACGTAATGAGCACATTTTGGCAAATACTGCTTTAATTCTATACAAAACACAGATCAAACATAAAAAGTATTGGTGCTTCAGTAACAAGTCAATTCTGCACTCAAAATAAATGTAAAAATCCCAGTCTCTCTACGATATCTTTAACAGAGTACAACAACAATTTTGTACCCATTGCTGATAGGTGGCTGCTTCCAAATGCTCACGTCTTCTGCGCATACTCCAATTCACATGCACTTCTTGGTTAAAATGCTTGTCTTGGCAAAGTATTGAAGTAAACAGTCGATTAGGTCTTAAGTGAATGTAAATAGGCCTGCTTCTCAGTCAAAACTCTTACAGCATTTATTCATATACTAATATATTATATTTTGCAATCATACAGTGCAGACTATCACGTAGTTTTTTTTATTGCATGTGATAATTATTTTTTACATTTCTGAACATTTAATTGAATATACTTGATCCTGTTGTTGGATACCTGAAAACTGCAAGCATTGTTTACTTAATTTTTATTAATCTTTATTCTATTGCTTGTAATTTGTTTATTATTGTCTGCATGCTTGTTTTCAATAAATAGTTAATTACATTCATATTTCAAATTATTTTGCTGTGATATTTGGCTGATATTGGTATTGACGACTGAAATTTTGGTATGGTGTGTGACAAGCCTAGTCTTGACTTATACATCATTGCTGCAAATCTATCATGGTAGTCGGAAGGTAGGACGAGATCATGTGATAAGCTCTATGATATAAGCTACTTTTGGGCACATTGTGCATACATCGCATACCACAAGTGCTGTGGTACTATACACATCAACTTGATACAAAGAAACCAAACCATTTGTTTGAACGTGAAGTCAAAGTAGTGTCACTCACCCAGGCTCCTTCCAGCTGCACCCCAAGCCCCACCCTGGCCAGATCCACCAGGATGGTGATTGGTAGCATAACCCTGCAGGGGATGGGGAGTGGCGTAGGCTTGGCGATGAAGAAGTTCAGACTCTGGATGTGATGATCTAGAGCTGCCGTACACCAAGCTGACGAGACCAGAGATCACCAGTGACTTTAGCATTGATTATCAATGATGCTTGCAGCAAGTGTAAAAACTTAGTCATTAAACAGTTTGCAGTTTTCCTATGGTAATCTCTGTACAGCAATGCGAAACCAAGTTTGTTAATGAGCAATATTTAAGTAGCAATTTTGTAAAGGGTATTATACTGGTATATATAACTTGTAGGCTAATGCAATTCTATTACATTTCATAATCCAAAAATTCATATATATTTTTTTAAGTTGTTTTTTAATGCATAGATTTGTAATATTTGACCCTTTTTTTTAATCACTGGTGCATCCTAATATTTAGATATCTGGAGCTGTATTACAGAAACATCCTAACTTATCCATATCTTATATATCAACCATGGCGATTTCACTTAGGATGTCATTCAGAACACTTCTCAGATATTAAGATCATAAACTTCCTCATACAAATAAAAAAAAATACATAATTAACTATAACAAACCTGAACAGTATTTCTGAGATATTGAATTTATACTTTAAAAAAATGAATGTAGTAACACAAATCTTAATTTGAACTCAGAAACTGCTCAGTAATATACTGCAATAACGTTTTGTTGGAAACATATTCTATATTATAAATGATTAACAATGTTTTATTAACATTAGTATTATTATATTTAGATATTGTGGGTTGTCTTACAGTAGTTTATCCTTATCTCATCATGGGGATTTCACTTAGGATCTCATTTAAAGCATTGAACTTCTCAGATATTAAGATAGGAAGACTATGTAATAAGGCACCTGGACAGCATTTTTTAGATATTAAATTATACTTACAAATAAAAGAAAATTAATGCAATAATGCAAATGTTAATCTGAACTACATCCCATCAGACACGAGCCACTGTCACACTGTACAATAATGCTTTTGTTCGAAATATAGGCCTATTTCCATATTATTAATCGTTATTAACGTGTTTCATTAGCAATATTGGATTTTTTTATTATCTTTCCTGTCACTGTTATGTGTGTGTGTTCTGATGATGCAGGAAAAAGGACATAGAATTATTAAAATACGAAATCGCGCAACATCACTTATGCCTTTTTTTAATTAAAAAGCAAAGCATGTTTTTATTAACGCAATGAATTGTTGACTGGTATGCATGTCCTGATCTGTGACAGTGAGCATAGCATCGGAGGCTAACTAACTCGTTAGCAAAGCAGCGCAGGTCGCTCCCATCTTCAAGCGCGAAGAGCTAGCTTAGGCAAGTCTAACACGATGGGCGTTTTTTACGTTCACTGGCCTGAAATAAAATCTTACATCGGTTTAATAATTTTCTCTGTTTTAGTTTAAATCAATAGCAGGCCCGCATGCGACAGCAGCATGATGAGGTTAGCTAGCGTCCGCTGAACGGGAGGTTTGATCACCAGAGGCCGCGTAGCATTGTTTCCCCGATTTATACAACAACGAGGAATATCATTTCAGCAATACGCATCTCCGATGCAACTGTTCCGTTAAATGCTCATGTGGTGTATTTTTTTAATCAATGGTGTCGTTTAAACTGTTAAGGCTGCGGTTCGCGTCCTTTTAAACGATCTCTCGCTCTTTTCTCAGTAGACTTGACCCGGAGCCCCTCATTCATTCATTGGGGATGCTAAACGAATCTAAGAGGGGATCTGTAATAAAATCGTGCGAGGAGACTTCACCCCGCCCCCCACCTTTCTGCAACTGTTCCGTTAAATGCTCATGTGGTGTATTTTTTTAATCAATGGTGTCGTTTAAACTGTTAAGGCTGCGGTTCGCGTCCTTTTAAACGATCTCTCGCTCTTTTCTCAGTAGACTTGACCCTGAGCCCCTCATTCATTCGAGGATGCTAAACGAATCTAAGAGGGGATCTGTAATAAAATCGTGCGAGGAGACTTCACCCCGCCCCCCACCTTTCTTCTTCTTCCCTCTCCTCCCCAAACCGCACATTAGTCCATCAATCACACTTGAATTCCCAAAGCTGCAAACCCTCGCTTATTTGAATAACAATAGCTACACTAATACCTTCTGACATCCCACGCAAATGCATCGTCAGATGGGGTTTCACAAGTCTGCTCGGTCTCAAACAGCGGACTCGCGTCCTTTTAAACGATCTCTCGCTCTTTTCTCAGTAGACTTGACCCTGAGCCCCTCATTCATTCGAGGATGCTAAACGAATCTAAGAGGGGATCTGTAATAAAATCGTGCGAGGAGACTTCACCCCGCCCCCCACCTTTCTTCTTCTTCTTCTTCCCTCTCCTCCCCAAACCGCACATTAGTCCATCAATCACACTTGAATTCCCAAAGCTGCAAACCCTCGCTTATTTGAATAACAATAGCTACACTAATACCTTCTGACATCCCACGCAAATGCATCGTCAGATGGGGTTTCACAAGTCTGCTCGGTCTCAAACAGCGGACATCACTCTGTGTTCTCAGCATGGCTGCACGCTTACCTCGCTTTGGCTGATCTCTCGTAGCTCCATCCGGCTCCTGCGCCCAGATCACCGAAGCCAGCTCCCGGGTAATTTCTGTCCATCGCGTCGCACTAACGCGCGGCTGGAGGGTGCGAGCGAACGGTTTCGGTGCGGAACTGTTTTTTGCGCTACAAGATCGCGGTCCCGTTGTCAGTTTTTAATCATTCTTCCTGGTGAGAGACGACCAAGTCCATAAGAGTGAAAAAGAGCATATTGAAAAGGGAGAGGGAAATGGAGGGGAGGAGATGAGTGCGTGATAGAGGGGGTGTTCACCGACCACCTCCAAAGAAATAACTCACCTCCTTTTCAGTCTTTTCTCATTTAAAACCAGACCGAGTAATGCCATGCTCTTCAGCGAAGAATTCGGTTTGACCGATAAATTACCGACGGACGCATATGACCGTCCCTTGTTTCTCCTCCCCTTACTTTAACGTTACTTGTATGAAATATGCATTAAGGGGCATCGGCCGTTAAACAACTGCTACATTCCGCATGCAACGATTTTGCGAGCGAATATCAAACGCGACATTTAAATTCCACCCACAGTGTTGTTGTGAGCTAGCAGCGCGCTAGCCCTGTCGACGCATCTAAATAAGATGGTGTTGCTGCTGTATTTGTCGGTAAACCGTGTCCCTTTCCTTCACTCGCTTCGGCTTGCGTTCGACTCAACGATTTCAAACACCGACGCCGCGTGCGGACCCCGCACGGTTCGCTTGAACGTCGAGCTCGAGGCCTCTCTTTTTCATAACATTAGTCATTTTCCCTCGAAGACGCCATATTTGAAGGCGGCTGTTTCTCTCTCGTCTCCCTCCCCTCCGTCTCGTCTGGTCCGCCTCCCCTCGGCCTCCACGGCAGCCACTAACAGAAGCTGCTCCCTCGTTTTCAACCAAAATGGTCAGAGCGGTGTTGCCAGCTAGTTTTCAGGGGAAGTTGCTGAAGGAAGGTTGATTTGTTGCTAAATGATGTTGTGATGACATTGCGTGATGACGTCATTACGCAATCACGATGCACAATTGTGTCAAATCTCAGCAAAGACATATTTTATATATGTTCATTTAGATTTGTTCGTAGCGATATAAATGCATAATATAGTATTAAAATATAAATAACTATTTTTAAATTCATTGAATTATCGAAAACGTACACATTTTTGAACGATTACAGTTTATTTTAAACTTTAAAGCAGTTTATTAGGAGTTAGTTAGGATGCTGCACTGTAAGAAAAGTATAAAAAAATAATGCACAATCTACTGTGTTAATGTGAAGGATTTTTCCACTGGTTTTTGTACCTGCATTTTTAATCACGCATTGTATTTTGTGTTTTCGGGTTACAACGGATGTCCTGGAAAATGTCCTTTTCCATTTTTCTGCATATTTTTCTTACAGTGTACTAACTCATCAACAATCACAGGTACAAGCTACTAACAAAGTGTCTCATAAATGAAAAATAACAGTATTCAATTATTATTATTACTATTAAATTAAACAATTGCGAATAGCAGCTAACTTAATTCCTGTAACGTGTGTACTGCTAGGCATCTTTGGTTTCCTCTTTTTGTGTCATTTAAATGGTAAACTGTGCCTTTTTATCGTTCGAGTCACTTATCAAAAGTTGCTAAAAGCTGCCAAATAAATTTTTTAAAAATAGCAAAATTTGTTGCTAGGTGCTTTTGGAAGAAACAGTTGCTGGGGTAGTCTGAAAAGTTGCTAAATTTAGCAACAAAATTGCTAAGTTGGCAACACTGGGTCAGAGCCCAGAGAAGGGGGAGGCATTGGCAGATGCACGTTCATCACGGAGATGTCTATTTGACGTCTGCAAGACCTATTTTTTAGAGTGTTTGCGTTTCATCTGCTTTGTGTCTATAGGACGTTTCCTATCAGATGTCAAATAGACCTTTAGAAGATGCCTTTAATGTGTTTATGATTTGTGGGCTTCGTGCTGTTGTGGTAAATTGGCCCCTCATGACCCCCACACACCTTTGACAATGACCATGAACAGTGACATTTAGCATATGTTTATCAGTCTGCTGCCCCACTCTGTATGAAATGGCATTGTAATGGCAGACCTTGTAATAATACAGTTATACCAACAGTATGAAGCTTTTCACTACCCTATTTCTACCTGTTCTGACATTTCAAATCATTTTTATTGGTGTAACCTAATGCAGTTATGTTTTTTTTTTCAGTCATATTAAACAAAGGGATTGTTCACGACACTGTTTAATGTTGTTAAACGTTGACAGATACTGCAATGCATTAATTGCATTAATTTGTTTGGATAATTAAGATTTAATGAACATTAAAATACATTTTAAATATGTATGAAAATAATTGTATCTGAAAACTAGCCTAGTTAATTTATATGTTGCCACATAATATACAATGTACAAAAAAAATCGAAGTTAAAGATTAGAGTTTTTTTTTTTTGTTTTCGAACACAAAATTTACTTTTTGTTAAAAAATGTATATTTGTGGAGTATGTGTTTACAGGAAAATACTATATCAGTCTTTCTCCTTCAGTATTCAATGTTTAATCGAACATGTTACTTGCTGTAATTGTGAAATTGACTAGCCGTTTCAGAGCAAAAAAACAAAATCTGCACAAATTTAGTTTTCAGTCTACACTCTATTAAAAGTGATTTTTCAAAGCTGTTAATAAAAAAGATTACTTAAGTAAGTTTTTTAGGTGTGCAATGAGCAAAACGTCCTTTCTATCTGTATTTTGTTTATTAGCACATTATTATAAATTTACATTCTGGAATTGGATAAACTCCAGACGTTTCAGTGTAGATTTAGGCTCAAAAACTTGTGTGCCGGATACCAAGACTTTTGGGCATCATAGGCAATCATTTTTGGGCATCATGGGCCCAAAATACTGCAGACGCCTAAGATAACCAACACTCCTGTAGGCAGCTCATTAGGTTTTCACACCCTTGGTGTTGAGGGAACAGGCCTTTAAGCTATCATTAAATACTTCCTGTTTTGCTGGATTTGTGTTAAAAAGTATATATTAACAGATGGATTTTTTAGGAATTTGTTGTGCATATATTTAGGCTAGGTTTACTTGGCCCAGAGTAATAAAAATGGATTCCTAAAATGAATATAATTTAAAGCAGTGGTTCTCAACTGGTTTCTAAAAAACATTAAATTAAAATGCCCAAAACTCTCATAAAAATCTTTAATTAATTATTTTTATCCCCTTTCTGTTGTTGATTAAAAAGATCGACTCACTTGTTGAATAAATCACATGCCCCCTATTCATTTAGTCACATTCATACAGTAGGTCCAACCAATTAAATACTTTGGATGTCTTTGGAGGCTGGAAAAAAGCCCCCAAAGCAGTTGCTTGCTTCAACAGGAAGACACTTGAGCAAATGATATGAGTCAGTGCTAGGAAGTGAACAAGAATGGTTTGTTCACTTAAAAGATTTGTTCATATGCACTTATTCATCCATGAGCCACTAACTGATTCTGGCCTTTACAGATATATTAACAGATGGATTTTTTAGGAATATATATATATATATATATAAAATCCTTAACTATGTATCCTAGCCGAGGCACCACAAGCTTAGCTGACAACTTTTTGGTTGTAGTAAAATAAATATTAACGTGTTCAATGTAAATATTCGAGGATGTCATCCTCACCTAAAAATCTCTAGAATTGATCACAGGCAGCTTCACTGACATCCAGCGATGACAGAAAAAACAGCTGTCCACTCGATGAAAGACGAATCAAAAGGTGAAAAAACGTGAAAAAGAAAGCCCCCTAAGCCTCTCCTGGGCTTTTTAAAATTAAGCTTATCTAATTAAGATGCATATGAAACGCATACCACCAGAGTATGGCTCACGGGTCAAATTTCCATTAGGGCATTGATTAAAAAAATAGATTTGCATTTCCTGAAGGAAATAGGCCTAGCAGCGATTTCAAGGCAGGATCTGTGTGAATGAAATGCCAAATCAGAGCCACTTCAGCTCACAAAAACAACAGCGATATTTTGCAGCGTTGCGGTAGCTATGAATAAATATATTCAAAGCAGACTAATCATAATTCAATATGCAAAATAATGCAATGATGTCTATCGGTTACTAGGCTACACACTGAATGCATACTATTTAGCCAATTGGAAATGTACAAAATTTGAAAAGGAATTTAAGAGATATAAAATTATATTTTTAAGTTTTTTGATCCCCCAACCGACATTAAAGAACATAGTTGCAAAATCATTAAATTAATTTCAGTTGTATATGTTGTTTTATATACGTTATCCTAATCAACAGTTTTCATTCATATCATTGTCAATTAATTCCGAAATCTTCTATAATAATTTACCAATAAGATATGTTTTAACCTAATTTCTGGGTTTGAATATATATATATATATATGAACAGATAGATAGATATTATTGGAAAAGTAACAGTTACTACATATTATATGTATTATCTTAATATTACATATGATCTTGTGTGTGTGTGTATATACTGTATATACATATATATGCATATACTGTACATGCAGATGAGTAACAACACAAAGTTTTGACTTTGTAAACCTTGTTGGTTACTTTTATTGATGCCTATCAAACTGATTACATATACCATCCTGAATCCATTTTGATTCTCTCACTCCCACACAAACACACACACACGCACACACACACACATGTGCACAATAGCATAATGCATTCCAACTTCACGTCCATACACACAGATGTTTACTTTCAAAGCAGATATACAAAGAACAATGTGTTCTGACATGCAGAGCACTCACCCATATAACGGTTTGACTCTCTGTGCATTGTGAACACACACTGTGCACAAACTTCCAGATGCACGATCATGATCCATTCACTCTCAGCAAATGAGATGTCACATACAGTATATTCACGGATATAGTTAAAATTCTGTTGAGGGGTTGGAAACACATTGCACGCATACATGAATAAATTGAAGAATAAATGAAACCTGGCCAGACTTAACATGAAAAAAATCAATATTGCATTGGCAATGCTGTTCCCAAGTAATTTTGTCCTGTTGTTATTTCTAAAAATACATATACTGATGTTAACCAACTGATAGCCAGCTAAGACAATACAAGTCATGATATGTCCAAATAGTTGTTCACATCCATATTAGAACAATTACCTGATGCAAACATATAATACGCATAATGCTATTAGTTTTTGCAGCATAAATGGAGAGTGGTTTCCTTAGATTTGGACTGGTCAGTTTTTAATGATCACGATTTGCTTCCCCAAAACTGCATACCTTGCTTAGACTGTATGTATGTATATTATAGATATGATAAGATATGATGGTACAACTGTCACATGATATAATGAGCCTTTTAGTCCCAACTGATTTCCATACAAGAAATAAATGGAAAAGAGAGTGAGCTGACACACAGATAACTCAAAATTCACAGAGACACACAAAATTGGATCACATTTACAAGATTCGTGACAACTGTTGGGCAGAAAAGCCATTTATACAGAGAGAGTGTCCCTCTTTCAGATATATTATGCTGGATCAGTTGCATAACCGCTGCACGGAAGCCCAATGACAAAGCAGTGCTGTACAAAGAGACCAATTTCATATTTTGTACTGTATCATAATCATAATTGAAGACAAATTGTTGTGAATGTACATATTTCGTGATGGTGCGAGCAAGGTCCGTGGCCTAGACAATGGCTTATTTTGTTTCAAATACCATTCAATTTTCAGTTTCCTCTTTAGGTTGCAAGGTACAGCATATTTTCCTCATCAGATAATGTCCAGAGGAAGTCTTTCTTTTGCTGTCATTACCGTAATACTGTGTGCAAGCGTACAAGCAAGGGAGAGTTCTTTTTTACAATACTGTTTTCTTCTTAAAGGTGAAGAGTGTGATTTTTGGGGGGAATTTTATATACTTTCTTCTATCCCAGCTTTATTCTTAAAAAAAATAAAGGGGATTTTTTTGCTGTGATGCCATAGTTTATTTAGTTTTTGGTTCCCCAAAGAACCTATCAGTACACTGTTCTTAAAAGAACCATTTTTTTTCTTAGTGTGAATTATAATTTTTTTTAATAGTCTAAAGAACCTTTTGTGGAATGGAATGATTCCATGGATGTTGAAAATTCTTCATGGAACCATAAATGCTAAAAAAAAAACATGAAGAACCAAGAACCAAGAGTGTATGTAGGGAAAATTTGAATTAAAAAGCAACTTTGGCTCAACCAATGGTGTTAGTTTGGGGCGTGGCTATCTGTTTGACTGGCAGATGAGGGGGAGGGTTCAGGAAATCTTGTAATTATTTTTGCATTTCCGTTCAGTGATGCTAGGGACACAAAATGTACACATCTTTAAAGAGTATTTTATATATATATATTTATCGATTTAAATTCAAAATATATTTAAGACATGAGTCAAAAGCACATGTTTGCTTGTCTAAAAGAAAAGTGACCTTTGCCATAGATTATTTTGCAATTCCCCCAAAATATGTATTGTTTTATACCTCAGACATTCCATTCTTTCTTAAACATGGATATGTACACCTAATGGCCTTTTTTTCAATCACAAGGAGTAATATACAAATAAATTATTTTCAATAAACTAAAATTCACAAATAAAATAGTCAACGACATTCACTTGGTTGGCTTCAACCAAAAGTCTTGCAGCAACAGAGAATCGGGACAAACATCCTTTCACATTTTGGAAAGATTCTCGTTCCCTTTGGCATCTTAGGCTACGTTTACACGACAACGATGTAGTCAAAAACTGAAAAGTTTTTCCGTTGCGTTTTTTAAGTTTTACGTGTACACGACAACGTTTTCAAAACGATTCGCGTTTACACATATCCGCGAAAACGGCCAAAAACGGTGTATTACATATGCCAGGCCAGTAGTTGGCGCTGACACCTTGTTAGCAAACAGGACGATTATATGTTGTATATGATCAAAGACTATAGAATACCCTTAAAGGGACTTTGATATGATGCGTCTCCGCTGTTGGTTGTGATATTGGTGAAGTAAATCCACACTTTGCTGAAGAAGCGTTAGCAAACTCTTAAACAGCAACAAGAGTACCATGTACTCCACCATTGTTGTATATGTTTGTTCGCGCTTTCCTTTAAAATCGACACGTACTGCGCATGTCTACATACCTAATACGTACTACGCACGCGCATGACGTCACCGTTTTCAAAGATTCCCGTATTGGGTGTTTACATGGAAACGATAACGGTGGCATTTTCAAAAACTTGCACTTGGAAACCCGTTTTCAAAAATATGTGTTTTCAGTCCCCAAAACGCCGTTGTCGTGTAAACGAACAGTCAAAACGCATAAAACGTTTCCCATTTTTGTCTGAAAACGTTGTCGTGTAAACAGCCCCTAAGGCCCTGTCCACACGAACGCGGTTATTTTTTTTCAAATTTAGTTTTTAAAACTGCAGCTTTTTCTACGTGGTTTGGTCGTTCGTCCACACGCAAACACAGCACCAGGTCAATGAAACCGAACATTTTTGAAAACTCCTGCCAGGGTGAAGAATTTTCAAAAACTCTGGTTGCAGTGTTATGGTGTAGACAGCGAAACCGGAGTTTTTGGCTTGTGACATCAGAGCCTGTGCTGTTATCTCCGCCTACTGGAAACTTTTTCAGGCTTCTGATTGGCCAACATGGCTTCACGGTTGAGATTATTTCGCCACCTGTTGGTTTGGCATGCTCTTGACAGTGCTTCATAGCATGCGTTTGCGTTTTCATGTGGACAGAGATTTTTTTTAAAACGGAAGAAGGAAAAACTCAAGAAACTCAAGAAGAAATATAAAAATGCCTGTGTACGTGTGGACATGGCCTAAAAGGGAAACTTTGTATTTGAACTCTTGTTGGAGACAACAGTCATGGGAATCCTTCGTTAGTCAGACGCTCTCGTCCATTTGAGCTGCCAAAAGGGTGAATCGAGGACAGATTTAGATGTGTAAACGCACGCAGAAATGTTTTACAATCACAATCAGTTATTGGGGTTGAAGCTCGACGTTATTTAGCATGCAGCATTTCTATGGAGAGTGAAAATGAAGTTGTCTATAGATAATGATGCAGGGCTGGTGAGCAATTTATTTACGGTCATAAAATCATCATGAGTCTGTCCGCTCAAGGAGGTAATCATGTTTTAAAAGATTCAGCATGTGCAGCTTTGTTAAACTGAATCTTTTGTAGCTTATTGATTTTTATTGCATACGTCTGAGCAGACTCTTGGTGCTAATAGCTTCTGGATCTGGATCTCTACGTATTTTCTTTAAAACATGATTTGGAGGATAAAAATTCAGATTAAATTGGACGTCTCTGTTGCTATAATTACTCGATTGCTGAAACGGAGACCAGGCCTGTAAGGAACAGATGGTATGCTACCCCCAACTGAAACCTTTCGTTTCATGAATGTCATTATAAACTCAAGTTTTGCACATTACATCCAAATCACATGAGAAAATACAGCATAAATCAAAGCATTGTCCAGGATGACAAATTAAATAAGTTTCAGAAGAAAGTTTGGAGGTGTTCCTCGGATCCCAGAAGTTTATGTTGTATTAAAGTACAATGGAGACGGTTCTTGCTTCGTTGCATCCCATGTTCTTGCACAATGTGTATCAGTATTTGGTTTCATTAGACTTTCAAAAAGCTCCTTTAAAAACACATTTTACCATCATGCTGTTCTGAGGTGACGAGGGGAGAAGGAACGTTTGAGTAGTTTAGTCTCATATCATGGCTCATATCTTGATGGATTGCTGATTATTCACAATATTTCTAGCTCAGGGCTGTGACTGTGTTCCACTGGAGGAAAGTAGGCGGGTTCTTTCTCTTCCCGACCCCCTGCGCTGGAGTAAAACCCCGCCCTCTCCACGCTCCACCCACTCGCAGCGGTCGGCTCCACCTTCTGAGCGCCGGGAGTTCTGTCTAGTTGGTGTTCTAGGAGGGCGACTGTTCTTCTCATCTAGCGTAGAGCAAAAAAAGGCTGTGGAAGAGTGGAAACATGCTGGAATAATTCATGATATGCGTCCGGTCTTACCTGAAAGAGTGTGCACCATGGGCTGATCATGAGCACTGAGCAACTGGGCTTGAATCGTTTCAACGACTCGTCTAAATCTGCGACTTGGACCTAAAAAATAAAATTCACACACATATACTCGTAAAAATTCAGTGGTGTGTAGTGGACCAGCAAAATCCCCTCTATTTATATAATAATTTATATAATCATACAACAATCAAGTTTCATGATTTTTTATATATCTAAAGGGCTGTTTACACGACAACGTTTTCATGCCAAAAACGGGAAAAGTTTTATGCATTTTGGCTGTTCGTTTACACGACAACGGCGTTTTGGGGACTGAAAACGGATTTTTTTGAAAACGCGTTTCCAAGTGCAAGTTTTTGAAAACGCCACCGTTATCGTTTCCGTGTAAACAGCCAATACGGGAATCTTTGAAAACGGTGACGTCATGCGCGTGCGTAGTACGTATTAGGTATGTAGACATGCGCAGTAAGTGTCGATTTTAAAGGAAAGCGCGAACAAATATACACAACAATGGCGGAGTACAGGGTACTGTTGTTGCTGTTTAAGAGTTTGCTAACGCTTCTTCAGCAAAGTGTGGATTTACTTCACCAATATCACAACCAACAGCGGAGACGCATCATATTATGCATCATATAATCGTCACTTCCCTACAGGTACTGTTTACTAACAAGGGGACAGCGCCAACCACTGGCCTGGCATATGTAATACAGTGTTTTTGGCCGTTTTCGCGGATGTGTGTAAACCATAGACTGTATAAAAACATGGACGTAGTGTCCGTGACGTCACCCGTAGATTTCCGAAGAGCGTTTTTGAAGCTCAAAAGTGGGCGGAGGCGGCAGTCGCCATCTTGGCAGCACGTCACCGCGCGTCATTAATCGAAAATGGGCAAAGAGGCGGGAGCTGGTTGCTGAAGCCACGCCCACCTAGCTTGACGCTGGTGACAGCGGCAATCCACCTGTCATTCAAGTGGCCACGCCCTTAATTATGCAGAACTTTAAGGCTTAATATAATTTAAACGGATGAGTTATAAAAAAATTCACTCACCCTCACAGTTGTCATCAAGGGCAAAATTAGCTATATAGACCAAAATAATTTTTTCAACCAGGCTGTAAACATGTTTTTTTTCTGCTGTGAATTTGGGCATTTTAACATGGGGAGTCTATGGGACTGACTCCCTTTTGCAGCCAGCCTCTAGCGGCCAGTTGATGAATTACAGTTTAAGTCATATTAAGCCTTAAAGTTCTGCATAATTAAGGGTGTGGCCACTTGAGTGACAGGTGGATTACCGCTGCTGTCACCACCGTCGAGCTAGGTGGGCGTGGCTTCAGCAACCAGCTCCCGCCTCTTTGCCCATCTTCGATTATCCGGGAATGATGCGCGGTGACGTGCTGCCAAGATGGCGACTGCCGCCTCCGCCCACTTTTGAGCTTCAAAAACGCTCTTCGGAAATCTACGGGTGACGTCACGGACACTACGTCCATGTTTTTATACAGTCTATGGTGTAAACGCGAATTGTTTTAAAATCGCAAGGGAAAAACTCTTCCGTTTTTGACTACATCGTTGTCGTGTAAACGTAGCCTAAAAGATTGCTCACTGTAAAAAAATCAATGCATTAAAATAGACAATGTATGTTTAAAAGTAAAAATTGTTTAATCTAATTTAAATATTTAATTTATTTAATTTATTTAATTTTCATGGTTATGGTCAATATAACTTTAACTATAACTTTTCTATAATAATTTATATAATCACACTTTTTATTAAAATCAGAGTCTCATGAACATTTTTAAATATTTGTAGAAAATATTAGTACTGTTCACTGTAAAAAAATAAATGCATTAAAACAGACCAAGTTTAAAAGTAACAAGTGTTTAGTCTAATTTAAATGTTCTCTTTCATTTAATTGTAATGAAATTATTACAATATTAAAGGCTAATGGAACACCATTGTATATGGTCTTGCTACAACATTTATATAATAGTTTATATAATGCTACTTTTAAAAAAATCTAACTCTTGTGAATATTTTAAAATATTTTTATAATATTGAATATTGCTTCAAAATTCCGCTACGATACACTAAAAATGAAATCAATATAAATGCTCCCATGTAAGTAATAAGCATATTTTTTAATACTGTTTGCCTATTTGCATCAAGCTCAATGGAGGCAAAAGAGATGATGCCTCCCTATGAAACTTTATTTGCTGGTGTCACTGCTGTACAATGTAAAATTGAGTGATTTAAACACTTTCATTTCATGTTTTGTTTTGTTTCTGTACTATGAATTAAAAGCTCTGATACCCTTTAATGTAAGTGGGTAAATAAATAATAACCAAAATCATTTACAGCAGATAGTAATACTTCTCACCTGATATGAGGCTAAAAGTTACACTGTAGATTCCGTAATCCTTCTGTCCATCCCTGTCTCTCTCCCGCTCCCGCTCTCGCTCTCTTTCCCCCTCAGAAAAGGAAATGTCTACCTGGAATTTGACGGGTTTCTGGAAGACAGACGGACCTCCAGAAGACTTATACTCTGCGCGGAAACTCGTCTGAGAGATTACACTGTGACTGAGGGAGGGAATCTGAAGACAAACGCAAGAGAGAAAGAACTGTTCATTAACTGCTGTATACATTCTTGCTGTTCTCCTTTGAGCAGAGCTGTCATGTTCACTTATTATGGGTCAGTCTGGTCACAATTTATGGGGGCTGTGTTCGATTATTCGAGTTGCAGAATACAGTTGTTTTCAGGCTATTTCTTTATCTACATTGTGTGACAAACCAGTAAAATATTTGATTTATTTTTGTAAAATGATATCATATTTTATAGATATTAAAATATGAATATCTCGACATAACGTCTTAAAAGTGTATATTACATTATAAATGACATTTTACAATATATTAAACTAGAATACAGTTATTTTGAACTGTAATAATATTACACAATATTACTGTTTTTACTGTATCTTTGATCAAATAAAGCATAAAGCATTGGTGAGCATAAGAGACTTTCATAACATAAAAAAATCTAACTGACCCCCAACTTCGGAACGGTAGTGTATATGCGATCCATTTAGTTTATTAAAATGCTTAATCAACAGAGAGCTGCACAGATCAGCTGCTAGACTCACAGAGAGGAAGGCATGGACGATATCCGCTTTAATGGAACTAAGAGGTTTGTCTCTGATGACCAAAAAAATCTGCTCTTCTTTCTCCAGACTGATGAAATTCCCAAACCAGGACCTTTTAGCCAGCCTGTCGGACCACAAACACAGACTGACACTCAGATAATCTGTAAGACTCATCCCAGTGATGCAGCACACTGAAGAATTAAAAGCTGGAGATCATTATCATTAATATATTTCCCTAAATAGCACATGCAAGTTGCCATGACGTCTATGAGCATTGTCATCTGGAACATCTCATTTTTAGGATCTGTTAAACACCGAAGGGCTGTTTTTGCAACATTTATTATTTAGAATTCATGTGAATTGAATTGTTTCTTTTTTTCACATGCAAATTGGGTGTTACTTAAAGGCACAGTAGCAAAAACTCTCAAAAATGAAAGGGTAAATTATTACTGTTTTTGGAGGAGAAAAAAAAACTCAGGGAATAAATGAATGTAATATAAAAATGTACAACATACAGTAAGTCCTGAAAAAAGAATGCAGTGCTTTGCAGATGATTTTTCCAGATGATTATTTGGGTTGACAATTGTTTCTTACTCTGGGCTTGATTCTGGTGTTAAACTGGACATGTCTTCTGAGGTTGGCACTGTTGGGAAGGTAAGAGTAAGAATGAAACATTGATTGAATACAAGCTGACATTGATTCAATTCAATTATTTGACCATTTTATATTTCAGAGGTTTTCAAACTGAGATACAGGGAGCCCCAAAGGGCCGCAAACTGTATTATTTTAGTCTCACTTTTTTTTTTTATTACATTTTATTTTTTATTTTTAAAATTTTAGTTAAAGTTTGAGTAATTTTGTTGTGTGTTGTATTATTTATGTCTATATAGTATTTATACATTTTTATTTATTAGTTATTTTAATACTTCAACTTCAAATGTTACATTGGCAACTAGCTGAAATTAAATATAAGACCAAGATATAATATAATATATAATATACATCTAATATATATTACTTAATTTCAAGCAACCAAAATGTTTTTTTATGGTTTTATTTTAGTATTTTAGTTTTAATTTTTGTTAATTATAATAACCCTGGCTGCAAAGGGACCTGCATAAAAGTTCAGAGAATATGAAATACATTTGTAATAAATATTATGTTTCATTCTGGTTTCCAATGTCATATATAATGGGAGCAATCATGTAATAAATTATTTTATTCTATTGACAGCCACAGTTTTATGTTTTTGTTCAAGTGAATACATCTGAAAGTACTCTAATAATAGAATTAGTACTCTAATAGTACAACAATGACACAGTGTCAGCTTAATAGAAGGTAAACATATTCCATATAATATTCTTATTTATCACATCACACGTCTACGGCATCAAAACGTTTGAAAACTCCTTCTCTATTTGATTAAATTCAGAAAAAAGGAAAGATATTGGCGCCCACCCTGCATCTTGCGGCGGTGGAACCGCGGCGACCCCAACAGGTTGTTCTTCAACGAGTTGAGGCGTGTCCTCCAGTGGGCGGAGCTACTTGCAGCCATGCTGCCGCCTCCCCCTGGACTAGAGGGCGGGGTCAAGGAGAGTGAGCCCACGCCCACACTTCCTCCCTCGGCTCGGGAGGAAGAAGAGGAAGAGGAGGAGGAGGGTGGGGTAGCGGGGGGGTGGTGGGGGTGATGCACGGGGGTACCCAGCGGGGTAGGCAGGGGAGAGCCCTGAGGGGTGACCTGAGACATGGGATACAGGCTTTTAGTCACCGACTTCAGCACCGCAGATGGAGAAGAAAAGAAGAGGAAACGGGGAATGGACGACAGGAGGGGAGAAGGGGAGGGAGAGCGGGAGGAGGAGGAGGGCAGGGGGAGGGACTTCATGGACTGGATTTGGGGGCGTTCAGGTGCGTTTTTAGATGGAAGCGTCTGCGTTTTGGGTTCATGCGATCGGTTGGGACGAACAGAGGTGCTGCCGCTTCCTGCTTTGGTGGCGGCAACTACCTCCGGCTCGCTGAAGGTAAAGACAGGGCTCTGATGGGATGAGGAGGAGATGGAGGAGAAGCGAGGTGGAAGAGTGAAGGCCGTGGCAGATGGAGAGAGAAACAGGAGTGAAAATGAGCAATGGCAGGTGATAACGTCTTTAGTGCACAGAGATGGTGAATGGGGACGTGAGTGTGTTTGTGTGTATGTGTGTGTGTGTGTGTCTAAAGCCCAAAATACACTTTGGTTTTTACGCGTACGTGCGGGTCCACGTACAGTGCACGTGATGCAAATTCCATCACCATAGTACGCACGTACTGTGCACCACCCGATTTTTGTAACCGCACATACTTTGAATACACAGGTCGCACATGCACATTGAATTTGTTTTGCACTAATCAGTTGTTCCACAAGGTGGCAACACTGGCCCGGGCCATTATTTCACAGTAGAAAATGGAACTAAAGAGACAGAACAACAACAACAAAATACCGCAACAATAGACGCTTGCATTGACAATCGCTTGTGTGAGAGAGTTATTAGATACTATGTTTATATTAGTTTAAAAGAGTACAAAGATATTTTTATCGCTAATAACTTCTGGAGAAAAATAGCGTGGACGCTGGATAATGAAGAAACTTTCTAAAGTCCATATGTCGACCACCTGTGTCCCCGCACGCAATCAAATGGAGTATACTTTAAAAGGCTACGCGTTTAACACTAGTGTACGCACACAAAAATGAAGTATACTTTGGGTCTAAGACTGAATGATGTGCATGTTCATATTAACTCAGTCTAGTATGTTTGAGTAATAACACAGATATAAGAAATGCTTTTGGAAAAATAACTAACAAAAGTTCCAAAAGAAGACATTAATCTAAAATTGCAAATGTTGGTAACATTTTACAATAAGGTTTCATTAGTTAACTAACATTAACTAAACAACTTTGTAAATAAAAATTGAATATTTCATAAGAATTATATTAATTATTTAACTGTACACCGCAGTGAAATTACAATATTTATGTTTTAATATCTTCACTTGCATGTGGCAAACTATCAAGCTTGGTTTTGGTGGAATTGAGGGAAGCCATTTAAACTTCTGTGACAACAGGTTTACAAACACTTCTCATTACAATTCTAGTAAAATGATGTAATTATCGGTCCACAAAAATGTTAGAAATTATGCAAATGTGAAATCAAAGTGGCACACATTGCACATGCAGAGATGGAGTTTGCTGCATTTACTGTAAACCGAGCTGCTCTGAGACGCTGAAAACATGAGATGCTCGTGTGTAAATGAACACAGTGCTGTGTTTCACTCTTAAACGCAGCACAACAGACTATATACTTATTTATTTAAAATACACACTGCGGTGAGTGTCAAGTCACTGTTGGAGAGAAGAGAGAGTAAGAAATTGTAGCTGGTATTGGTCTATCAATACTGCGGGAAAATGAGTATTAACACATTTCTCGATCAAAAAAAATCTTTATTTTTGACTACACTGCTGCTGAGTGACTCATCTCTTTAGTAGAAAAAAAGGTTAGCAGACAGGCACTTACCCTGGGACTACTTAGAGGACTAGACGAGAGGCCCGTTGATGCTCCACTTACAGATCGAGATCTATGCAGGAGTGTGGCGGTCAAGAGTCAGTAGTGCTAAATCAATGTTTACAAAGTTCCATATATGCATGAAAATGTGTTTATGACTGCATGTGTACCTTTGGCTGTGCGCGGAGGTGTCCAGCGCTCTGCGTGGGGGTGTGGGAGAGCCCTGCTCCGTCACACTCAGCACCTCCAGACTCTTCCTCTCTGGCCGGCAGCGGCCGTGACGGGTCAACATGGGTGAGTCTACACGCTTCCGTGGAGGGTCTATATAGAAATACAAAACACAGAGTATGCAGAGAACTGTGCATGTAGATCAAACAGTAGAGTATAGCAACACTAGCAACAGCAAGGTTGTGAGTTCAGTTACCAGGAAATATATAACTGATCAAATCTATACACTTTTAACCTCTTAAGAGCCACCGGCCCACCGGTGGGCCTGTTGGTGCTCTTTTTTTCGTTGTCTTTTTTCTCTGTCACACACACATCGTTTAAAAGCGTAAAACCTCAAAATTCATCCTGTGAAAACCATTTTGAAATCGGACATTGCCTTACAATGGAAATGGTACTTTAAAATCTTTTGGCGGTCTCCTCCCCCTTAGTGGGTGGAGTCAGGTGTCATATTACAAAATGTACAATGGTCTTTTAGAATCTTGACAAAATACATATCGGCGGAAAGGTCTGAGTCTCAAGATTCCATATTTGGTGGTTATTTTGAGATATAAGTCATATTGACAGAGATATTTAGACATTTGTGACAGAAAAATGCATAAAAAAATTCTATGGAGTTTTGATGGCACCCGGTGGCTGTTTGTGATATAACACCCTAAATAAAATCTCTCAGGAACCTAAATGTTTTTATATCAACTTCAAATTTGGAACATAACTGATTTAGACATAAGTCATTAATTTTATAGCAATTTTGGATTCAAAAATATTTTGAAAAATATGTATTTTATATAAAATAAAATAAAAATGGCACAGTGCATTTTCTTTACAGTAAATTTAAACTTCTTTAACTTTTTGATACTTTAATATTTTGAAATGGTTCCACTTCTGCAATAATCTGCAGATTGTCTTCTTAAAAAAGAGTCCAACCGTAGGTCTGTATTCCAAAGCGTTCATGAATGATAACAATTTAAGTTTGAATAGTGCACTTTCACGTCTATATTCAAAAATGGGGGGTGGCACTTAAAGGGTTAAATAAATAAAGGTTCCAACAGGGGGAATGCCATAGAACCATTATCGGATCCACAAAGAACCTTTCAGTAAACAGATTTTAAAAGAACCATTTTTATCTTAGTGTGAAGAATATGTAAAAAATTTGAATGATTTTTTTTCCACTATAAAGAGCCTTTAGTGGAATAGAAAGATTCCGTGATTGTTAAAAGCTGTTCATGGAATTATAGATTCCAAAAAAGAACCAAATAAATGAAATGCACTGTATTTTCCGGAAAAAGTCACAGCAGATCAAAACTGCATTGTTGAGAGAAAAAAAACACCTGTAAAATGACTGTAAATAAAATTTTTACAAACATATAAACAGTATCAACATGTATTTTCGTTGTTCCACTCACTCCACAAAATTAAAAAAATACACATAAACTGATCTGTGTAAATTTGTAAGTTTGGTTGACTGCATTTTAGTTTGATGATGAATATGCTGCTATGTCAAGTTAGCAATGCTAGAAATGATATGTTTTGTGTGCACTTTGAATTCTTGATGTTAAAGGGATAAGCCACCCAAAAAATGAAAAATCATTTACTCACCCTCATATTGTTCCAAACCTGTATGACTGACGTTTTTGTGCAGAACACAAAATAAGATATTTTAAAGAATGTTGGTAACCAAACAGTTACAGCTCCCATTGACTTCCATTGTATTTTGTCCATATAATGAAAGTCAAGGAACAGCAACTGTTTGGTTACTCACATTGCTCAAAATGTCTTCTTTCATGTTCCGGAAACAAATGAAATGCATACAAGTTTGCAACAACATAGGAGTGAGTAAATGATGACAGAAGTTTTTTTGGGGGTGAACTATCCCTTTAATTGTATTATATAAGTTGCAGCACATTTCACAAAGTAACTTGTATTCCAGAAAACGCAGTCATTTGCTTTGGATAAAAGCATCTGCCAAATGTATAAATGTAATACATACAGTAACTTAAAATTCTTCTGCTAATTTGTAAACCAAGAGAGTGGCTAACAGATGCTGACCACTACATGTTAACCTGTCAAAAACAGAAGATGTAGATTTATTTATCTGTGTTAATGAACACTCCAGGGAAAAAGACACATACCAATGTCATTTCTGGGAGGAAGATCCTCATCCTCATGGCTAGGATAGCGCTCTTTACGGTCTAACAGGAGATAGTAGATCATCTTCTCTTGGTTATCTCTAAGGAAAAGAGCGAGAGAAAGAAGTGAGAATAACTATGTTAACCCTGAAGCCTATTGTATCATATTTGATATACAAATTTCTAAGGCATAGGAATTATCAATGAGCAAAACTTTGCTGAAAATTGTACACACGAAAAGCCTTCTGCTGTCTGATTGATAGATCATACTTTTATGGCAAGTAAAAGGCCTTTTAGTATAACTGTAAAAACACAGTGGCACCAGAGCTTTTTGCTGTGAAATCTTTAAATTGTTATAAAGTAAACATAAGAATATTTTTATATATATATATTTTAGTAATATTTCAAAATTAACACTTGGACTGAAGCAATTTAGCATTACTTGATTATCCAATTTTTTTTTTTTAGACAAATTATGTTAAAATATCAGTAGTAAATATAATCTATCAGGTGTTTGTTTATTTGTTCATCTCTCAGTCATCACTGTATTGCTTTGCATTATATGCCTTTCCCCCACAATAAAATTCAGCATAAAACTAACCATTTAAATATCATCTACTAAGACATATTATTGGGAAATATAGAGTGACAACTGATATTTATATGCAAGAAGTCTGCTATACTGTTATACAGATCTCATTGACGTATATCACAAGCTATCAGAATTTAATTTTACTTTTTGGCCATATAAATATCAGCAATTGCATACTTTGGATCCGTTTGGGCCTCTAAATAAAATGTGGGAGTTTGTATGAACTCCATATTCTCCTATGAGCTATAAAAACCTGATGTATCAAATATGATACTCAACGATAACATATATACTTTTTTAGTTTTTTAGAATGTTCAATACACTGTTCAATAAAAAAAAAGAGAAGATTTTCCTGTCTATTATTTCATATGTCAGGCTTTACAGGGTTAAAGATTATCTACATTTTTACATTTTCTGAATAGAAATGCTGCAAATGTGCTGATGTTACACTCACTCTTCACACTGCAGGTCTTGGGCCAGTTTAACCCGGTCCCTGAAACAGCCCAGAGAATACATGCTGTCCAGCACATCTGGGTCCAGCTCTGTCAGAGACATGACCCGTCCCATGCTCACGCGCCTCGGGGGCGGCAGCTCCAGACACAGCTCATTGCGTCCAGCTCTTCATCACACACAAACAAACACACATATGAACTTGAGCTGCTTGCACAAATCATCTGTGATCTTGCCTGTTATGAAAGACGCAAGCTGAAATCATTTCATAACATTTCAATATAAATACAGTTCTATTTATGAAATGCAGCCATAAACACACACATAATATGCTGCTCTCACTCAGACTTTTAGATTGACGGCAGTGATAGCGAGAATACAAATAATCAATATAAACAACAAGTACTTACTGATACCAGGCATGTTTCTGGATGGCCTCTAGCTGCAGAAGGACAACAAATGGTGTGATTAGTAGAGTGTGTTCACAGGCAGGTGGCGCTATAATGCTATAAGATTAGCAATTCTGAATCGGCTGAACCAACTGATCAAAATGCTGATCAAAGCCGTGTAAATGCAGCAAAACCTCAGATCAAACATGCATACAGATACCTGTTACAAACCAATCTATTAAATGGAATCTACAAATCATTGCATTGAATGGTATTTAATGATTTGTAGATGAAGTGCTTTTTTGTAATTTGTGTTCTTTTTATTTATTTGTAGCACTTGTTTTAAGGCAGAACTTGACTAAGTGGGGGAAAGTATAATGCTCTCTGACAGAGCATTTGAAATTATATTCAACAAGAAAACCGTTCTTTTGCAAGAGTCTTCTTTCAAAAACCATACAATCGTACAAAGTTTTAAACAGAGATGGTTTCAAAAGTAATAAACATAGACCTAAAGTAAATCCATAAAAGAAAGGAAAAATTTAAATCGCATCATATGACCCCTTTAAGTTAATTAAATTTGGACATGTTTATAGTTATCGAACCACCACAGTACGCTTGATGCTTAATCACAGTACTCCCTCACCGTGAGTCTTTGTTCAGGGTTGACCTCGATCATGCCCCGCAGCAGAGCCTGGCAGTCGGCTGGGATGAAATGGGGCATGTGGAACACTCCACTCTTCACCTTCTCCAGCAGCTGCCGCAGGTTATCATGGTCAAAGGGCAGCGCGCCCTGAGGACAGCGGACAGAAAGTCCCAGATACAAAGACACAGATGGTAGTGACAAGCAAGGTGTGTTTCAGTTATTTGCTGTGAGCTAAAAATTAGTAGGCTAATAAGTGATAAGTGGGGGAAAGTATAATGCTCTCTGAGAGAGTGATTTCCTCACCACTAGCAGTGCGAAGAGTATGACTCCACAGCTCCATACATCAGCCCGTCGACCATCATATTTCTCACCCTAAAGTAGAAGCCAAAGGTAGTAATATGGTAAATGGTTCACTTTCAGACAGAATGATGCTCATAGAAAACATAGAGGTTACTTTTTGGACCTACCCTGATAACCTCTGGACATGCATAATGAGGAGATCTGCAAATAGTTTGGGAAAACAGAGCATGGAAGGGTGTGAGAGGGTTTAGTTTGTTTAAAATAACATAGCTGTTTTAACATTTGGGTATGTCACATTTAGGCAAAAATAAAAAAAATATGCCCCTGAGCTTAAGAGGTTAATTGAAACTGAAAATATAATTAATAATTAATTAAGTAAGTTGTGCATAATTATGTTGGCTTGACAAGTCAGTATACTGATCTACTACTCAAGTTTCTTCTTCTTCAGAGACTAAATTACTAAAAATGAATGCAACCTAGAGCTTTCAAGCTTTGACCACCAGACCTTTAGGCTGTTCCGACTTGTGTGCTAAAACATGCTATCAACATGCTAAAATTGCTAGGACAAGCTTAATCATGCTAGCACCTAATACAATGCTAAAACATGCTAGCAGTGCTAAAACATGTTAGGGCATGCTAAAACTTGCTAGATTAAGTGCTAAAACATCCTAGAAGCATGTTAAAACATGCACATGTTAAAACATGCTAGCTATGTGTTAAAATATGCTAGCAACAAGATAAAATGTGCTAGGAACAAGATGAAACATGGTAGCAATGTAAACATGCTAGCAATATACTAAATCACACTAGACTCATGCTAAAAATTTTAACAGCACTTAACAAAATATTAAAACGGACGAGGTGATAAAACATGCTAGAACATGTTACAATATGCTAGGAACATGCTATTGTTAGATAAGTGCTAAAACATGCTAGCAATAAGATAAAATGTGCTAGCAATGTGATGAAACCTGGTAGCAATATAGAAAAACCTAATAAAAAAACATGCTGGCAAAATCTGGCTAGCTTCGTGTTAAAAACATTAGCAATGCCTAATACAATGTGAAAACATGCTAGCAGAGTGCTAAAACACGCTAGCAACAAGCTAAAATGTTTTAGCAATGTGATGAGACATGGTAGCAATATATGAAAACATGCTAAAAAACATGCTAGCAACAAGTTAACTGGCTAGCTTCATGTTAAAAATGTTAGCAATGTATAATACAATGTGAAAACATGCTAGCAGTGTTAAAACATGTTGGGACATGCAAAAACCTGCTGGCTAAGTGCTAAACCATGCTAGCAACAGTATAAAATGTGCTAAAATGAGATGAAACATGGTAGAAACATGCTTGCAACATACTAGATCATGTTAGCGTCATGGTAAAAAATGTTAACAACACTTAACAAAATGGTATTAAAACATGCTAAAACATGTTATAATGTGCTAGCAACATTCTTAAGCCTGCTAGCTAAGTGTTAAATCATGCTGAAAGTGCTCAAACCTACTAGCAACAAGCTAAAATGTGCTAGCAACGTGATGAAACATGGTAGCAATATATAAAAACATGCTAGCGACATACTAAATCATGCTAGAAATAAAGTAAAACATGCGAGGTTCATGCTAAATGTCAACAACACCTTAATGTTAAAACTTACAAGGTGACAAAACATGCTTAAACCATGCAAATAACATTCTAGCAATGTGATACACATGTAAACAATGTGCTAAAACATGCTAGGGATATGTTAAATTAACATTCGCCAAATGCTAAAACAATATAGCAGTGCTAAAACTGTTAACTGTAAATAGTAGATACAGTAAAAACAGTCAAACTTGTCAAGCCAAAATGTTTTTACATTATTTAACAAATTAATTTAGCAACTTCCATCTGTAAAAAAATGCTTAGTGATATATGGCAGCTACGTATGATATTTTGCCATCTAATTCAATGACATTCATTAATTTTTAAGTGTGGCTTTAGTGTTCATATAATGTGTATTGTGTACTTTAACACAGCTGGAAAACTGTATTGATCAATCATCATGCATTATCAGAATTATCCATTTCATATTGCAATGCATGCAGCTTGAAGTACAATAAAGCAAGCAAACAGCATTATAAACCACACGCATTCACAATACTCACCCACAGCTTGTCTCTAGCATACTGTCTCCCACCTGTAGTGAGGCCATGCCAAAGTCTGCAATCCTGATATTGTTCCTCTCATCCAGCAGGAGGTTTTCTGGCTTCAGGTCTCTATGACTACAAGAGCACAGAGGACAACCGGCTCTGAACACGGCGCTCACCAACAACCCTCCACAGAATCATACTTTGGAAGATGTACAGTGTCAACATATTAATTCTTCACTCATCCTTGTCTTGACTGTATCTGCCCAATTAAGATACTAGAGCTAGAACCACCACATATGAAAATATGAGGGACTAATCATGTTAAAAACCGTTATCAATAACTGTGTCTGTAGGGGTTTTGTCATTAGGGGAAATTTAATTTTTTCCTGTCCTGAAATATATATGATGCAGCGTTATTTTAGTGTCATTGATATACTATTATAGTTTATTATTATTATTATTATTTTAAATTACATTTTTTCCCACTTTAATTTGAGTTAGTTTTAGTAATTTAGTCATTTGTTTTTTTAATCATTTGTATTCGTTTTTATTAAATATGTCTATAGTTTTTATTAGTTGTTGTTTATTTATTTATATTTTAGTATTTTAGTACAAGTTAAACTAAAAAAAAAAGAAGAGAAATGTTGTTTTGGCATCTAGCCTGTTTTGTTTTTTTATATTTTAGGTTAACGTTTATTTTATTTCAAGTAACAATGTTTTTATGGTATTAGTCTTAGATATGATTTTAGTTTAGTTATATTGAAGGTGCAACATCAATTTGTGAAAAAGGAAATTAAATAGAAGCTTTTTCAAAAATCAAGTAAATGTAAATGAGAAAATGACTCCAAGCAAGGGACAAAAGGCCATATTCAAATGGTATTTGTTACCATATTCAAATACAATTGAACACCTATTCAAAATAGCCACCAGCAAATGCTGTACTATCCTGTATTATATTTGTTTTTAGAATATGATCTGATGCGGTCAGTGTGGGACCACTTTGCACATACTTTGATTTTAATCACCTTCAACCAAATTGAAAATCAGAAAGCTTCTCAAAATATGTGAGCTTGCAAAACTTTACCCCAGGGACTCATTCTAATTTACATTATTTTATTAAGAATTGTTTGTGTGTGTGTGTGTGTGTGTGTGTGTGTGTGTGTGTGTGTGTGTGTGTGTCTTACCATATAGAGTGACTATGACAGAAGTCCAAGGCAGATATGATTTGTCTGAAGAATTTTCGTGCCTCTTTAGGCGTCAGTCTGCCTTTCTTCACCAAATAGTCAAACAGCTCTCCTCCTGAAACATGCTCCAGAACCAAATATCTGCATGAATGAAGCCAGAGAACGAGTGGAACAAAGGTTTTAAGAAGGGACAAATGACAAGCAGGAAGAACAATGTGTTGAAAAAGCCTATAAGAAAGCATGTAAAAGTGTGGTAACTCACAGGTATTTGTTATTCTCATAAACATCATGGAGTTTCAACACGTGTGGATGTTCAATCAGTTTTAAAATAGCAATTTCTCTCTCCACCTGATTGAATGATAAGAAGAAAAGATCATATTTACCACTATTAATATACTATTATTGTTCCTATGTTTGTTTGTTTTTTTGGCCTTGGAATGGAATGTTAATACCATAGTACATGAATATGGCAGGGTTATTATAGTTAAATAAAACCATTAAAAAATATATTTTTGTTACCTAATCAAATTTCTTAATCAGCATGTATCATTTTCATTTAGTTTAACTAGATGTAAAATAACTAAAACTGAAATAAAAATTAATTAAAATTATATAGACAGAAACAAAAGCTAATAAAAATGGCAAAAAATACAACTAAATGACTAAAACATGAACTAAAATTAAAATGAAAACAGAAAATATAAAAAGTTATTCAAAGTATTAATAAAGCTTATAATAGTGATACTAAAATAACACTGGAATATGGTAATCATACCGTAGTGATACATGATACTTTTGACAGGTATAATATTATAATTTAATTTATAGATTTCATATCAATTTTAATTACAGCAACTGAGACTTTACAAAAACTAGGCCTATAGCATTAAAAAATATATATGTGATTATTCTTTCTTTACCTTCATCAAAACAGATTCTGAGAGTTTTTCTCTGTTGACTATTTTGATGGCGACTTTTTGACCAGTGATGCAGTGAATCCCGACCTTCACCAGACCTATTGACATCGCAGACAATTCATCAGTGATGACCGCTTTGAAAAAAGTAGAAATCACAGAGAATTTAATACGTAAACAACATGTCCTTACCGGTCTGGCCTTTCCCGAGAGTCTTCTCTAGTCGATAAGGCCCCACATACTGAGCTGCCTGGGTCACTGACAGTTCCTTAGACATAGTGGCGGCCTGTTAAACTTGCTACTGCATGCAATATTTTCACAGCGTACCGTTTCTGAGTTGAGTTTTTCTAAAATAGTCTCCCAAGGGTCTGCAACAACCCGGGAATAAATCCATGCTGAGCTCGTTGTTCCCTAAAATCTGTCATATGGGCCCTGAACTCTTTCAGTCTAATTCATAGCTTTGCCAATCAAAGTCACCCTTCTCAATCGATCAGACTTTTCGTTCCCAGTACATGTCATTACAGAAAGCCAGGTCCTGTTAGTACGCTCCTGCTTCTAGATGTATCTACCAGCTGGACATCACCTCATGACAAAAACACCATTTAGAAACTCCTCCTAACTGTGTTTGTGAAATATAAGTGAACACAAGCCTTCAGTACACTTGTGCTAGGCCTAAATCCCAGGTAAAGGAGGCAGAATCTTACAACTGAATAATAAACAAACAAACAGGTCAATCTATTCCCGTTTAACATTCAGCAAGACAACCCAAAAGACCAGTCCGATCGCGTATGTGACTGTAAGGAGATCCAGGTCGCTCTGCATCCTCTCGCATCACTGCAGCGGATCTGTTTCATCTCTGCTGCTGATGTTGAGCTCCATCCTGCCGCACGGACCGCAGCATCCTCATCCTCATCGTCTCCGCCGCGTCCGGTCCAGCGCAGGCTCGCATCCGCCGGGCACTTTTGAGGAAGGGGTTTTAGGTTTTTGATGGTGACTGATACGTTGCGCACTGATCGCTGATGTTTTGTGTGTCTTGACGGTTTATTTGCGTTGTAAAGCGTTATTTTCTCCGTTCTGGTTCCTCGCAGCAACATCCGGGTCCCACACCCTCCTCCTCATCATCATCATCATCATCAACCCTCCCTCCCAAACACACTCCCCCACTGCACCTCGCGCCACAGATCTGTCTGTCCCTCACAGAAGAGTACGATACAGTCATGCTTTCAGATGGTGGAATGATACAATATTATATATATATATATATATATATATGGCACTGAATGAAAAGCATCTTCAAGTACCAAATACGTAGAACTCGGAAATAAATAAATAAACAAACAAATACATAAAAAAAAATAATAATAATAAAACACCATGTGTATCCAAATTGTTTAGGTCATGGGAAAAATATTATTTAATTTTATTATAATTCTTTTTTTTTTATTTGATCTTTTACTTTAAACGTTCATGTCTTTTGGTCAACATAACAAAAAAATTAACAACACAAATAAAATATCTAAAAAAAATAAAAAATAAAAAACAATATCAAAGTTTTAATACTTGGCCAGTTCAACAAAGTGTTAATAATTTATGAGTTCACACGCAGGCTGGTATGAGTTAATCCTTTTTATCTGTATCTTAATGATTTTTATTGTATATTGTTGTTGTTTTATGTCATTGTGCTTATTTTCTGTCACAACCGTGATACAAACTGCAAATATTTTTATATGAATATGAGTTTTTATATTAACAATAATAATTATTATTATTCATTTGTATCATTGTGCCTATAACCCCCAATACAACAATTCTGTGAACCCTTTTCTAATCTTATATAGGCCCTTGCTAGCGATACTATAAAACCTACATGACATGCATGCATGATTAACATGGGATGAAAAGTATGAAAATGGTTTTGTCAACACCATCAGAATTCCTTCAATAGATGGTGCTGACAGTCAGCTGCTGTGTTTACAGGCCCACTTTCAGGAAACCACATGAGCAGCGCTGCCAATGTGCTTGGCATAAGTTAGCAAGTATGCAGACCACTGCAGTTAAAGGTCAATCAACCATTGCATGCAATTAAATATTATGAAGCTATTTAGTGTCAGTTATTTAGTGAACACAGCTATGTAGGCTGCCTCTTAATTGTCATGGTTATTGATAGTAATTTATTCAAAATCAAATGAAAAGCACTGTTTTATTACAGTGTGAAATCTGGAAAATAATAATAATAATAATAAAACTGGGTTTTCTTTCTTCCACTGTTACACATAACACGGTAAACATGAGGGACACCAACAAGGACAACGACTTCCCAGGATCAAAATAAACTATTCCACTGCTTTCCAGCTCTTGCACCCCTTTCACGGTCCATAAAATGGTTTAGTCCAGTGCAATGTGAGGGAATGCAAGGGACCCAGAAAGGAAGGACCTAAGTTAAAAATAACAGTAAAAATAATCAGAATCAACAAATCAATGCATTCATCCAGACAGAAGACAAATGCACAAACAATCGCTCCACAATACTGTAATGAAACTGTGCTACATTAAACTGCAGATACATTTAAAACAGAATAAAAGTCACAATGAAAAAACATAACAAAATTAGGAATAAATCAGGTAGAAGAGTATTTGATATTTACATGTAAATCCATGTCCCCTCACGAGGCTGCCGTGGTCCCCTTCACACAGGCCTCAAAAGCTTCCAGCAGCTCCTTACAGCCCTCTGCACCCTTCCCCTGAACACTGGACACATAAACAGTGTGTTTAGTGTGCTAACAAAGAAATAGTGTACACCTATGATATTATGAGTCTGCTGTGCATTGATTTTTTGGATGACTGATCTCATGTCAAGATCAAAGGGGCCACATTCTTTGGAGTCAAAGGGTGTTGTTACGTCATCACATGAAAGAGCCTTCAAAGTTATGCTTTTTTTTAAGATAAGGTAGTTGGCATTAAATACTTTGGGAAGTCTTGCAGTGTGACATGGTATAAGCAAACTAAAACTACTTCGAACTGTATATTTTGTAAGAAATTATGATACCTTTAGGACCTCATTGAAGGAATATCTCACCCAAAAATCAAAGTTGTTAAAAATGTGCTCACACTCAGGTCATCCAAGATGTAGACGAGTTTTTTTTAATCTGAGCAGATTAGGAGAAATATAGCATTACATTACTTGTTCACCAATGGATCCACTGCAGTGAATGGGTGCCGTCAGAATGAGAGTCCAAACAGCTGATAAAAACATCACAGTAATCCATACCACTCCAGTCATTCAATTAACAACTTGTGAAAAGCTGTTTGTGAGGAACAAACTTTTTACCAAAAACTGTCGCTTCTGGCCAAAATACTTCTGGCCAAAAGTCCATAATCCATAATCACGCTTCCTCCAGTGAAAGAGTCCATCCCCTGCTCTCCTCTCACATCAAAACCCACCCACATATTTGTTTAGAGCTGTTTTGGACTGCTTTGGCTTATAAACAGTACTTTATCTGTGCATATTTCTCACAACGTTTTCACTGGAGAAAGCAATATTATGGATAGAGGACTCATATTTTAGCCTGGATTCATGTGGATAGCTTGTGGATTATTGTAATGTTTTTATCAGCTGTTTGGACTCTCATTCTGACGGCACCCATTCACTGCAGAGGATCCATTGGTGAGCAAGTGATGGAATGCTACATTTCTCCAAATCTGTTCTGATAAACAAACAAACTCATCTACACCTTGGATGGCCTGAGGGTGACTACATTTTAAACAAATTTTCATTTTTGGATTTTCTTCAGAGAGCGCTAGTTTGAAATATCTCACTGTCCAAGTGCTAAAATCGAATAAAAAGGATCATTCTTGCACACTAGGTGATTTTAAAATCTTGTCCAGATTTGCACGTTACAGCAACTATTACCCTCATAAATAACGCAAACATTGCAATACAGGCGATGACATGTGAGCTGTGAGCACACTTTCACTCTCTATTTGAAACCAGGCTATATTTACATCACACATATACATTACTAAAGTTCATGCTAAATTTGGCATTTGGCATATTGCTCTGAATTTTGCATTCAAATATGAGAAATGTTTATAATAATTTTTTGACTTGTATGCAATCATGCATATTCATGATGCACAGACTCAAGCCTTTGCTTAATTTTATTTTGTAATCTCAAATGTACTCTGAATGATAGCTTAATGAATTGAATACATAATGCAATATAATGCAACTGGCAAATGCTGTATTTTATGTGCAAGCGAACAACCCAGAAGTGATGCACCGCAAATGATAACCTCAATTTACAATGAGTGCTATTGACTAAATCAGTTGAGAAACGGTCATAAAGTAGATAGCGCTTCTCTTGTAAATGGCACAACTTGTGCAACTCACCGTAAAGTTCACATTATTGTGTCATTGTGTGAGTGCATTGACCTCTGACCTTTTGATCTAGAAAGAGAGCACTTTGCTTTGTTCACAATTATAGATGGAGGTTAATCATTTGTGCGTGAAAGCCTACAATGCTGGAAACTATCGTAATATGTATCTCCAAAGCTCTGTCGTTATCAAACGCAAGCACCAAGGGGAATGTGTGCTCCAGCCACATGCTTTAACTTAGTAACATGATGGCTAACATGGATAATTTTCCACCTGCATCATCACTTCCCAAACCTGCTCCCCCCGGCACCATGTGCTCAGTCTTGTCATTTAGTATCCAACACACACATTTTAACTAGCCTTTCAAATAGCTTCATTCACAAACCACTACTCATAACCTATATACTGTACATAGAGTTGTTATGATATGATGGTGCATAACTAAAAACAATTTCACGCCGAGCTATTAAGCATGCAACAGCACCAGACATTTAAAGTATTTGAAATTCAATGTTGCATTAATGTACTATGTCCTTACTGAAATATGACTCACCATTTGTCCAGCTCATCTTTGGGAGCCTTGCACTGAGCAGGAACTTCTTCTGGCATTTTTCTTTGTTTGTGTGACACAATGTCAGTGAGCTGAGAAGAGCCTTTAAAGAAGTACAGGGTGAAAAACTAATATATACAGTATATATAGGATTACTTCCCAGTCTGTGCAGGAAGGAGGAGGAAGAGAGGGAGGAGAAACAGGCTGCAGAAAGTGTCAGAGGGCAAGAATGATATAGTAAAGGTGACCTAGGCGAAATTAGAATAGAATAGAATGTACCTTTTTGAAAGGCACATACTGCATATATTTTCATGTTGTTTCCTGGTATGATTTTACAAGATACCTGCAATGTTTCTGTTTCATTATAATGCAAATCAAGATCCAGCAAGTCTGCTGTAAATATTCATTTCTAAGTGTGAACAAGGGGTTAAGATTGTAAACTAACCATTTAAGAGTCTTTCTCCCTCTCTCTATCTCTCCCTGTGTGTGTGTGTGTGTGTGTGTGTGTGTACTGGTTTATATATCCTGGTGGGGACTTAAACCTGACTACACACAGACTCATGGGGACTCGTGTCACGGTGGGGACCTAAATTGAGGACAGAATGAAGTTTTTTGAAAATCTAAAAATGCAGAAAGTCTCCTGTGAGGGGTAGGTTTAGGGGTAGGGTTGGTGTAGGGCAATAGAATATACGGTTTGTACAGTATAAAAACCATTACGCCTATGGAGAGTCCCCACAAGGATAGCAAACCAGACATGTGTGTGTGTGTGTAAAATATGTATTTTCCATAGTCCATATAATTTTCATATCCTTTTTAGTCTTACATTTTATTGTTAAGAGGATGGTGAATATACGGCAACATTTTCATTTATTAACTATCCCTTTATTTTTGACTTAATCGAATATAAGGAATATAGGAAAGACTACAATCAAACACTAGATGGCGCAGCTTTACAAGAGGCAGTAGAGGAACAAGCACAAACTACAAAATAAAGGAAAACTATCAACATCGCAGATAACACACACACACACGCACACACACACACACACACACACAACTTTATTTCTACCTTTTGTTATTATTATTATTATTATGTTTTGTTTATCCTAATGTAACCCCTGGCTGTAGTTATAATTCTTGAAAACATAAATAAATATATCAATTTGCTGATATTATGTAAAAAAAAAATGAAGCTTTTTCTTAAAAAATATATATTTTGACATGAATGGGTTTTAATTAGTAATTAGTAATAAAGTATAATAAACTAATTTCAGTGCCTAGAAATAAGAAAAAAATGAGCTAAGACAGTATTATATAACATGATATAGAGATGGCTATGGAGCTCTGTCAAGAACACGAAGTCTGCTGTGAGAAATTTGACATTAACCTAGAATAATGAGCATAATTAATTGTGTAATTATGTATAAGAATAACTGAAGATAATATTTAAAATAATTAATTAATTTAAAATATTTATTCGAATACTTTTCTTTTGGTACCATGGTGAAATACATGTAACGTTATGATCATACCACATGTGTTAGCGTTCGCGGTCCCCCTCTAGTGGCCGGCCGGTGAACAGCTGCTCTGCGCTCACTCTAGCGGCGGGCGAGAGAACGTCTCCCGCCTACAGGCTTCTCGCGACACGCTCTGCATCTGTGTTTGTCCGCCTCAAATCCAAGGGAGACGAACGAGGCGCCATCTTTCGTGCGTTTCTCCCTGCAACGATGAGAAAATGATCTCGAAACCGGTGGTCCATGCCACCTCCAATCTGTAAATAAAGGCGTATATGAAAAGAACTCGTATCCGAGCAAAACATCGATTCATAATATACAGAAAAAATTATACATTTGCTATCCATAATCCACTGAAGGGGACGGCAGCGGCAAGGTGTTGTCTAGTATCAACCATTTCGTGATTCCGGAGCCGACAGCGAAAAGGGTTCCTGAAACCGGGGTGTTTTTCACGAAGCGGACGCGGATATGGCAAAGGCGGCGGGGCTGCTTGACCAAACGGCTTATCTCGGGCTTTGGTGACATTATCGTGCGATTGTGGAGGAATAGTTGCCGAAATTCCCTCGGATCGCGCGCGCCTGTCACGTGGTAGGTTCCTCCTTTTTCTTTGTTAGTGGACGATCTCGAGCAGCAGCAGCGTTTGTGTTACATAAACCTAATCCTGCAAACATACCTGAGCTTCCAGTTTAACTCATGGTGCCAGGGACTGTTGTATTTGCAATAGTTTTATGTATCGTTTTATTTATGGGGGTTTGAAGGCTTGTATGTTTGCTTTAAAACAGATTACTATCTAGCACTTTCTCATACGCGCGCTTATTTATTACTCCCCTCGCTATTTCAGCTATAACGGACGTATATATATATATATATATCTTCCTCATGTTTTGATCTACAACTAGCAGCCTCGTTTAGTCTGTACTAAGTTACCTTATCGGTTGCAAACCGGTTCTCGTTCAAATTGTTGGTTAAATGACTTGCATAATGTTAAGGAAGGCCGTTTGAGAGCATACTAAACATGTGCAATGCTCCCATTTACAGCACGAGGCTTGCGAGACATTTAGCAGCAATGCATTAAAACGCCATACGATGTGTTTAATGAGCTTCTGCGTGTAACGTTAGTCTTGGAGCCGGAGCCGAAACGCCACGGAAGCGGCGTGAATGTGTTCAGCAGCTGCTTGCTAACGCGGAAAATGGTTGTAAGTAGCTAGGCATTGGTGTGTGAGATTTTATAAACGAATTTATAAACGTATGACCTGTTATTGATCCGAAGCGTGTATTATACCGGCGGTGTTGCCAGCTAGTTTTCAGGGGAAGTTGCTGAAGGAAGGTTGATTTGTTGCTAAATGATGTTGTGATGACATTGCGTGATGACGTCATTACGCAATCACGATGCAAAATTGTGTCAAATCTCAGCAAAGACATATTTTATATATGTTCATTTAGATTTGTTCGTAGCGATATAAATGCATAATATAATATTAACATATAAATAACTATTTTTAAATTCATTGAATTATCGAAATCGTACACATTTTTGAACGATTACAGTTTATTTTAAACTTTAAAGCAGTTTATTAGGAGTTAGTTAGGATGCTGCACTGTAAGAAAAGTATAAAAAAATAATGCACAATCTACTGTGTTAATGTGAAGGATTTTTCCACAGGTTTTTGTACCTGCATTTTTAATCACGCATTGTATTTTGTGTTTTCGGGTTACAACGGATGTCCTGGAAAATGTCCTTTTCCATTTTTCTGCATATTTTTCTTACAGTGTACTAACTCATCAACAATCACAGGTACAAGCTACTAACAAAGTGTCTCATAAATGAAAAATAACAGTATTCAATTATTATTATTACTATTAAATTAAACAATTGCGAATAGCAGCTAACTTAATTCCTGTAACGTGTGTACTGCTAGGCATCTTTGGTTTCCTCTTTTTGTGTCATTTAAATGGTAAACTGTGCCTTTTTATCGTTCGAGTCACTTATCAAAAGTTGCTAAAAGCTGCCAAATAAATTTTTTAAAAATAGCTAAATTTGTTGCTAGGTGCTTTTGGAAGAAACAGTTGCTGGGGTAGTCTGAAAAGTTGCTAAATTTAGCAACAAAATTGCTAAGTTGGCAACACTGTATACCGGTATTTCCTGTATTAAGTTCGCTTGTTATAGCAGTCATGCTGAGAAAACGTGCGATTATTTGATTTTATTTGAAATTACCAGCGCGAACGCAGAAACCCTTCTTTGTTAATCCTTAACCGGATTTGTCATGTTTACTACTTTGACATATTTGACAAACTCCCTGAGAAAGAACACACCCAGCGTTTTGTTTTAATGTTTCAGATTAAATATTACATTAATTTGTTGCTAGCTAAAACGACCGAACATTACTTTTTGAAATGAAAATATCAGTGTGCTAAAAAAAGAAGAAGAAGAAGAAGAAGAAAAAGCGGTTATAGTGTAGATGGAGCGGGTCGCCCCCTCATGGGCACCACTATGTTTTCATCACATGACCATCCCTTTTCATGTCATGCAGTTGATAGAGTAACTGCTAATAATAATAACCTTATTAATAAAATATTTACTTTATAAAGTGTTTTCACAAAGCAGAGACAAAGACCTTAAAACAAACAAACCTCTTTTGTGTGAAGTCGCAGCCGTTCGTAATCAAATATCATTTATCACCAATTGGTAATATTGTGACAAATAAAAGCTAGCTTAATGTTAATTTATTGAGTTACTTATTGAGTGTACTTTTCATGTAAAACTGCTGGCAAGTGATGTATCATCAGTAAAATATCCTTCACCCTCTTGTGTCAGTAGGGCCTCTCGCACCGTGGGAACCTTTTCATAGTACTAGAACTCATTGTGGAACTACCCACTTTTTGCCGGAACTGGGTGTGATTTTAGTACCGGACTGCCTTTTTCGAGAACCAAATTAGCTCCTACTCCGGAGCAGGGTCTAACCAGCACAACTGGTACTAATCGTGAGGTAAGTAGACATTGATTGGCTAAACGAGTATGAAAACGCCCTCACCCGCCATGATTTAAAACACTGTGTAAACATACTGTAAACATTGTGTCAACTTATTTCGCAAGTGGAGAACAGCGATAGATGGACGGACGCTGAAGTGCAGGCACTTGTCGCAAATGTAGCACTGCCAGTTGTCGTTGGAGATTCTTAGTCCTCCTTTCCGTTCTTTCAATCGCTTTACGTATACGTCGACTTTCCATGTCCATTATTGTGAAACCCGCGACGCACAACAAAAACACAGCTCCGATCACAGCGTCCTCCATCCTCCTGTTGTTAATGTTGTTCTTCTTTGTTTCCATTGTTGAACGCCGCGCACAAATGACGAAAGCTGTCGACCGGCTTACGTCACTTCTTAGTACACACTGTCGGTGCGGATGCAACCCTTTAAATAGTACTGGGAAATAGTTCGCGAAAAATCGTACTGTACATTTTGTTCTGAAACTAAAGCGGTGCGAAAGGCCCTGGTGTGTCTGTATACCTCCTTTGATATTGCAGTGGCTATTATAATAATTAAGAAGCCACACTGACATATTTTGTTAGTAGTGAAATACTCTACAGCTGTGTTTGTTGGAGTTGAGGTATGGGTATTTGTAACGTGGTAATTCATGAGTTGAACCATCTACATGCACTTATGAAAAGATAGTCTCTTATCTGTTGAGGCCTAAAGGCATATTCCTAATTCCGTTGACACAGATGGTCTGCTGAGGCCAGAGGAGGAGGGGTAAATTGAGAAGGCTTGCTCTTACATAAGCTTGAATAGAGTAGGTCTTTCCCTACTAACGACTATGGTAATGGTCCCCGCTCAGTTCAGGTCAATGAGTTCTCATTCCCTTTTTTACTTTGAGGTGAAGAGCATCGGGGCAGATAAATTCATGTCCAAGAATTACTGATAACGCAAATTTCTGTTTGTGTCCACTTACTCTGTTATCAGTAGTTATCTTCTGATCTGTGTTTATATTTATTTATCCAGTGTATTGATACTAAAATAAAAATCAATATGGCATCACAATTGAAATAGTGTACGTTCCTGGTCTTATTGTGAACGATTCAACACTGCATGTTATTCCAAAGAGTTTCCCTCCCAAAACAATATGCCCTATCCCAAAAACGAATCTTATTGGAGGCCTGCTGGCATGGATTTTGGAAAAGGATTATCAGGCAGAGATTGCAGTTGTGTTTCAGGTATTTAACTCATGAATGCCTAAAAAAAATGTGAAGCCCGAAATGGGCTGTTGTAAGAAAACCTTTAAGATAAGAACGCTCCTTAGACAATTCATGTGGAAAAAATGAATAAAAAAGACCCACCCGTTGAATATCCTGTTTCAGTCTTAAATAGACAGATTACACAAGTGCAATGCTTATTTTTATTATCAGACAGTAAGTGGACTAAATAGCTTGTCTCACCGGCTGCTTATTGTTAAAGTTTAATGAATAGGTTAGGGAAAAAAGAATCTTGTTGAAGGCCTGCTGGCCTGAATTTGGGAGAAGGAATATCAGACAGAGATTGCAGTTATGGTTTAGGCATTTTATTTATCTTCCAAATTTTGATCCGCAAAATTAAGTTTGCTGAAACTTGGTCTTGTAAGAAAACGTTTAAGATAAGAAAACTCCTAGTCATAATAATCTTACACAATTCATGTGGATAAATGAATAAATAAGCCCCACCCTTTAGTCATAAATATGAAGATTACAGAAGTGCAGTGGGCTGCAAACTGCTTTTCTGCTTGAGTGTAAATATTAGAAATATTAGTTTAAATGGCTTGTATCTCCAGCAGGTTGTTATTAAAGATTATTGAATACTCTTGATATTCGTCTTCACCTTCAAAATATTGTGTATATTTGCAGTCTTCTAAATCTTTTTTCCCCCCTCTTTGTATCCAGGCTGTGTAGGTGGGCTGGAGTGAAGGTTTGGAGGTGCAGGCTGCCGTGTCCATTCCTTGGCCCTGCATGGCTGCGATGGCGCCCGCTCTGACTGACGCCCCAGCCGAAGCCCGCCACATCCGCTTCAAACTTGCCTCTCCCTCATCCACCCTGTCCCCCGGCAGCACCGAGAACAACAGCAACGCCAGTAACATCCTTATCTCTGACTCAGTTTCGGACTCTGCCGGTAGCCACACCAACGGCAAGTGTCACATCAACGCCGACGACGGACAGAACTTCGCCCATTATCACAGCGTCAAGGATCAGGAGCAGGACCCCCTTTCTAAAGCCCCGTCTCTGGGCAAGCTGGCACCGTACTTGTGCTCTGATGTCAAACCATTGCCCTCGTCCACCAAAGTCAAGGAGTCACTGAAGCTGCAAGGTGTCCTCATCAAGCAGTCGGTGCTAAAGAGCCACGGCCTGCTGAGCAGCTCCATATTCCCCAGTGCTGCTGCAGGCAGCGACTTCCTGCTGCGCAAGCGCCACGCACTTGAGCTGACTGGAGGTCAACTGAAGAGTCTGGTCAACGGTACCGGAGCTGGAAGTACCATGGTGCCTGTGAACGGACTCTCCAAGAAAGTGGCCGTACCTAGTGCCGCCGTGGCTGAGAAAGGCAGTGTGGCCACAGTGAATGGAGACAGCAACCAGCCTTCCACCAATGGGGAAGCGCTGTTATCCGTGTCCTCGAAGTCTGTTGGTACCTTTGCAACCGGTGGACAGAATGGCGATGTGAAGCCACAACAGAATTTGACACCAAGCATTCAAGGCGTGTCATCACAAAGGGAGCTCACGGCTTTGTCTGAAAGTGCAGAGGTTAACGCAGAACCGGAGAGTCCCGTTGGTGGAATGGTAGTCGAAACAAACAGTAACAATGTCGTCGACTGTCCCTCGTCCCTTAGCTCTTCCCCAGTCCATGATGACTCATCCCCTTCAACTCCCAACCTGGAGGCTCTGCTCTGGGATCGGGCTCAGCAGAGCCAACACAGGCAAACGGACATCGAAGGCCGCCTGCTGCGTCTTCGCAAGCGGCTGCAGGTGGTGCAGGCCAAGCAGGTGGAACGGCATTTCAAACAGCAACTTGCTGGTTTTCTGGACCGCACTTTGACCCCGACATCTAGCCGCAGGGCGGATCCAGGGGCGTGGAGAGGGTCTCGCGCTTCCGTGGGCACCCACGCACATAACCTGAGTCGGTTTTTGAAGGGTGGTAGGGTGGCTTTGGAACTGGATCAACTGCATCTCAGCGGCACCACGCATTTGCGAGTGACAGAGGCTCAGTTTGACTCGGACGCTACCGAAAGCAGTTCGGGAGGAGAGAGTGACATCGAGGAGGAGGAGCTTACCAGAGCGGATGTTGACCAGCGTCATATTAAACTGTAAGTCAAACATTTGTTTTCAGAAAGAGTCTACTTTTAAAGACATGAAATGAAGTGCATGTTATAGATCTTACTATGAATAATTGTTTAATCAAAATGTGAACTGATCTTGCTAGACTTCTCTCTGGCGATGTATGCATTATTTTTCCAATCATTTAGTCCATTCAAACCCCATGCCGCAAGCTTATGTTTATCTGCCTAAACTTTTGTGCTCACACCTCAAAATCCAAACAACAAGTAAGTCCAAGCCTACATATTTTATTTCACGATATAAAATATGTAGGTTGCATTCGGATGTACGTCACAATATGGAAGAAAAGATCAGTTGAGCGTTGAACTACTTTTAATTTGAGCGCCACATTTTTAGAATGCGGTGTCACGAGCAAGATGTTTTTTAAACGTTTAATTTCTTTTCATTTTTAGAACGCTGTGTTATGCACGAGATGCATGTGTACTGCATGTTTACACAGTAATCAATTTGAAACAGTATAGTCATCAAACAAATAGGTTCACATGACATTCACAGACGTGTTGATAATGGCGTTACACTCTTATAAGCATAAATGCATAGTACATGCTAATATTATGCGTAAAATACTCAAATTTAGATTGAACCGTTTTATTAATTGTTTTAGGTGAGTAATAAATTGGTTTTGTAATGTAGATTTTTCTTCCATTGTCCATCACCTTGGATTTTTCACTGAACCCACATTGTCTTTCTTTCTGGGATTGCCTTTGGAGCAGAGCCTTTAGTCATGTCCCTTGACGTACTATACATTACACTCATAAAAATACAGGCTCTTTATCAGCATCTGTTGTTCCATGAAGATATTTTAACATCCATGGAATCTTTCCATTCCACAAAAGGTTCATTATAGTGGAAAAAGGTTCTTTAGAATATTAAAATGTTCTTCACACTGAGAAAAAAATGGTTCTTTTAAGAACTGTTCACTGCAAGATTTTTTGGGGAACCCAGAATGGTTCTTCTGTGGCATTAGTGTGAAAACCCCCTTTTGAAACCTTTTTAAGAGGGTATACAATGCATGTACTCTACCCTGTAATGTGTGAATTTTATAAGTCTATTTTGTCAACTAGCCTCAGAATCTGATATCTATGGCGTTATTTTAATGACAAATGTCGAGAGCGCATAATTGTAGCATGAAAGCACATTAATATAATGCACGAGCGCGTGGAACAGTGATTGGATTTCCTTTGCTCTCGCACAAAACGTGTCTCTCCTCTCACTCAAACTGTGTCCTGTGCATTCACAAATCTCTCTGTGCTCACGCGCTATAGATATTAATTATTTTCGCACCTGAATCTTAAATCTTAAATCTTCTGATTTAAGGCAGAACTATTTAGATATGGGTCAGATGCACTATTCCCTAAACCGATACTACCGTGTATTCACAGTGAAAATTCCAAAAAGAGACAGTGTACTTTGCATGATGCACTTAACCAAAAACACTGTGCACTCAACTGTTGCAGCTTTCTTTACCTAACAGAAAGGGAGGGGATATTATGGCGTTATTTTAATGACAAATGTCGAGAGCGCATAATTGTAGCATGAAAGCACATTAATATAATGCACGAGCGCGTGGAACAGTGATTGGATTTCCTTTGCTCTCGCACAAAACGTGTCTCTCCTCTCACTCAAACTGTGTCCTGTGCACTCACAAATCTCTCTGTGCTCACGCGCTATAGATATTAATTATTTTCGCACCTGAATCTTAAATCTTAAATCTTCTGTTTTAAGGCAGAACTATTTAGATATGGGTCAGATGCACTATTCTCTAAACCGATACTACCGATTTGGAGACCAAATATAACACTATAATGAATTTTTCATATTTGCCATAACATTACTACATTCTGTTCTATGGGTTTAATGCATTTGCAGACAATGTAACTGTCATATAACTGTATATTCACTGTTTTAGAGGAGAGTGGCATTGAATGTGTAGCTAATATTAAGTGGATTGTCATGAAAAAAAAATGGCATTGAATGTGTAGCTAATATTAAGTGGATTGTCATGAAAAACAAAATTCTGAACTGAACAAACACTGGATTAAAAAAAAAACTCCCAATAAATGTCCAAACACCGATGCTATTAGAGCATTTATTGTATTATATCTTGCATCATTTACATCTATTTTTGCATTTGATGTTGATTTGAGGAGTTGTTACATATTATTGTTATCATACCAACTGAGAATCTATTGCAATGATTTTAAATTGAGTTGAGGTATGTGACATATTATGACATAACATTGATGTTTTATATGAAGTCTTTAGAGCCATAGGCTATAATATGTTGTTTTTAGATAAATTGCTCAGACTAACCAGTTGGACAGGTTATATGCACCCAATTCCTAGCCATTTCTATAGGGTACATTTCATTAACATTGCTAAATATTATTAAACTGGAAAGAAATTAAAGATCCATCTTTGATTGTCAAAAGAATTCCAGGTTCAGTTCACTCAGCCAATTAGATTTAACGTAGTATTTTCATCGGTCTGATTGGTTTAAGCTTTATTTATATAGCGCCTTTTAAAACAGTGTATACAAAGTAGCCTACTTTACAAAGAGATGCATATGTGCATTCGCAGAAAAGATCAAAATACAAACACAAAAAAGATATAGTAAAACAAAGTAGCTACAATAACCAGTTTGTTAAAACAAATATACAACAATAAAAAATCAAGGAAAGGCCCTGCACAAATCTGTTTTGAGACTAGGCTACCTTTTAAAAGTGCATAATGATAACTTTTGACAACGTTTAATTCTGGTGCGAAAATAATTAATATCTATATGTGAGTGCACAGGACACAGTTTGAGTGAGAGGAGAGATGTGTTTTAAGTGATTTGAACACTGTCTCCGGGCGAGAGCAGCGTGTATCTGAGCGCGCGCGAGAGGAGAGATTCGCGCTCGCACATTATATTAATGTGCTTTTGCGCTACAATTATGCGCTCTCGACATTTGTCATTAAAATAACGCCATAATATCCCCTCCCTTTCTGTTAGGTAAAGAAAGCTGCAACAGTTGAGTGCACAGTGTTTTTGGTTAAGTGCATCATGCAAAGTACACTGTCTCTTTTTGGAATTTTCACTGTGAATACACTGCTCAACACAGTGCAAAATGGCATAGCATAGCACATAAGTGCGTGATTTGGGATGCATTTTCTGATTTAGTCTCATCAAACCATTGCACAGCATCACTATGGTGAAGCAGGCACATTATGTGGGCTGATCACAGGAGCCCCAAGGGAGCGTGGGGGTATGTTTCTGACTGTAGGCCTGTGTGTTCATGCCCTGAACCTTGTAGAGAGTCACTGTTAATTTCCAGTCCGACCTTGTTTGTACAGTGAGATCATAGATCTTGTTGTCATAACGCAGTCTAGTCTAAAGTCATTTCAGCTATCCTCCTTGGCTGTGGTCTTATTTAGAAAATTCAGCAAGGTTAAGTTTCCTGTTTGGCCCCTGAGGGAGAGTCTGATTCATTTTATTTGAAAATAGAGAGGGTGAAACCGAGAACCCTGATGTTTTTGTTAATATTAAAATCAAAGTAAACCATGGGTGATGGATAAAAAAGCAGATTCAAGCAGTTTAACTTTCATGTGTAATTTTTGTTTCTACTTCCTTTTTCTTTTAATAATTTTTTTTGCGTATACAGAGCAGAGAATAACAGTTTAAGCATTGTGAGCTCAGAAGCACATGCATTTCAGACTCCTTGAAGTTGAAAAATAGGGCATTATATAGGTGCTCAAATCCTGTTGCTTTAAAGTTTAGACCAATTTTTTAATATTCAGGGAGATAAGTTGCTGGACATTTTTATAGGTTGATTTATTAATGGAAGCTGTTTTAAAAGGAGCCATTTAGCAGCTTGCTGACTTGACTTTGCACCTTTGACTTAAATAATCAGGCATCCGTGAATGCAGATTTTGGATGTCAAATTTGAGCTCACTGAAACATGCCCTGTTTTTTTTTAAACACCACTATCACATGCTTGAATCCATTCAGGGTGTGTGCTTGCTGGCTGAACACTGATGATGATCCTGCTCTAAATAAGTGACTTTTCAGCCCCGTTTCGTCCTTTGCAGCACTCTCTGACTAATGTTTCTCGGCACATGTTTATGACATCACGCTGTGATGGTTGGGAAATTAGCCTAGAGCATGAGAAACTGCTGCTTGTTGTCCTCTGACTGCAGTTAAATCAAGATGAATTTAAACTTTGTTCATCTCAGGACATTGATCCCAAACACCCACACTCATTATTGGAAGCTTTTAAAGGGGTCATATGATGTTGCTAAAAAGAACATTATTTTATGTATTTGGTGTAATGAAATGTGTTTATGCGGTTTAAGGTTCAAAAAACACATTATTTTCCACATACTGTACATTATTGTTTCTCCTCTATGCCCTGCCTTTTTGAAACGAGTCGATTTTTACAAAGCTCATCGGTCTGAAAAGCGAGGTGTGCTCTGATTGGCCAGCTATCCAGTGAGTTGTGATTGGCCGAATTACCTCAAGCGTGTGATGGAAATGTTACGCCCCTTATCATACTGTGATGCCCTGTCCAGCCGGAGCGACGAGACAAAAACATTAAAACCCATTATAAACGATGCATTTGTTGCTTCCAATGGAGACATAATTACTGATTATAATGACTTGTCTTTTTATGCATTGCGTTGCATCGCGCCGCGTAAACATAAAACCATGTCTGCATTTGTGATCGGAGAAATGACGAACAACAAGTGCTACATCTTTTTAAGTGGGAGAACTTGCACAATTGGTGGCTGACTAAATACTTTTTTCCCCCACTGTATTATGCCCCTTTTTACAATATGTAATATAAGTCTCTGGTGTTTCGGGCCTGTCTCTTTAAATGCAAATGAGCTGCTGCTCCCCGCCCCTTTTCCAGAATAGAGCTACGCCATTACAGCTCGTACGTGCTAAAAAAAAACATATGAGTTTAAACTTCTGATATACGGTTTTCTGAGAGCACACACCCGAAGCACACGGACAGAAAGCGGCCACCACACAGCATGTGAGTACTAAACTAAATTCTCATTCACACACAGGTTTACGTTAAAAACACGCATGAGTTACAAAAAACAGTGGGTTATGTCTGTGAAGGTAAACAGCTGGGAAATAAATTGCATGTTTATTTTAGATCTGTGTGGCAGCAGCGTAATATACAGTTAATAAATCAAGAAATGCACTGCTCTGTTGTCTCCTCTGAGGCTGGGACTCTAAACAGTGTTCTGTGCTCGTCTGTGCAGCCAAACACAGAACAGTTCGCATGTTTTGCTCAAACTTTCTCCATGGCATTAGAGCTGGTACACTGTTGTCGCTTGCGAAGTCAAATGACGGCGCCGTGGGTGGAAACTTACAGATTAAGAGGCGGTAATATTATAATGAGATCCCTTTGCCACGTCACCAAGGGAGTGAAATCAGACGCGTTCGTTTTCTCAGACGCTTGCAGAAAAAGGCTTCCCAAAACAAAGTTACTAGGTTAATTTTTTTCACGTTTCCTTGGTTGGTAGATGCACCGGGACCTGATTATAGCACTTAAAACCTGGAGAAGTCAGATTTTCATGATATGTCACCTTTAAGATATACAAGGGTAGTTCACCCTAGAATGAAAGTTTGGTCATCATTTTGTCACCCACATTTAACTCTGTATGACTTACTTTCTTCCGTGGAACATAAAAGAAGAAATTGAGAAATGTCTGAGGTTTTGTCCATACAATGGAAGTCAGTGGTCACAAAAACCTCTTCAAAATATTTTTTTGTGTGTGTGTTCCACAGAAGAAAGAAAGTCATACAAGTTTGGAATGACATTTTCTACCAGAAATACTGTAATACATTTAATTTATGATAAAGATAGTATAAACTGAAAGGGAAAAGTTACCCCAACATATTCTTGACAAGAGATTCACACGTGGTATGTGAGAAAACAGAGCTAATCAGGAAGTGCCTTTTTTGATCTGATAAAGGCTAGAATTAGTTTATTTGTTTGCGTTTGAGAAATATGAGCCAGATTCAGTCCTTCATGCATAAACTGTGCATTCATAATATCCCCCCAAATCTGCTGTTGGCCTTTGACAGAAGCTGATGTATTTGGGTATGTGTGCCCCTAGAAACCATCATAAAACACTTATGTTGTCAGGACTTTCAGTATTTTCCTTGTTTTCTGTTCTTTTGTCTCCTCTGTCACATCTCTCTCTCTCTCCCATTCAGCAGTCTTTCTTCACCATTCTCCTCTTATGTTCTTCCTCCTCCCATTCTCACTGTCTGAGCCGAGCCCACTCGTGTTACGTAACCTTTTCCTCTCTCACTTTCTCAGATGTTCTCTTTCTTTTCGTCTTGCATTCCTCCACCCCTTTTTCACCATCTTTCCCTCATAATTCCTCTGCATTTCTCTATTGATCCTCTCTCCCTTTCTCTTCATCCATCTGTTCCATTCTTGCTCACGTCCTTGCTCGTGCTTGTGCGTCATGTCTCAAGAATTACAGCTGTGCTTTCAACCCCCATAGAAAACATGCATCATATTTGTGTGGATTCTTTCTGATTCATGTGTTTCCCCCTTGTTCTACAAACATATTTTTACAGCTAGGTCTGTATCTGGGGAAAAAAAATCTCAAAATACAGAAAAAAATACAAAAATCATTCAAACAGTGTTTTTTTTTTATTTAAAGTAGTAATAAAAATAATAATATAATTAAAAGCCAACAATAATAATAATTATTGTTATTGCTAAAATAAAAATGTGACCCTGGACCACAAAACCAGTCATAAGGGTCCATTTTTTTTAAATTTAGATTTATACATCATCTGAAAGCTGAATAAATAAGCTGTATGGCTTATAAACATAAGATGTATGGTTTGTTAGGATTGGACAATATTTGGCCGAGATGCAACTATTTGAAAATCTGAAATCTGAGGGTGCAAAAAAAATCAAAATATTGAGAAAATCACCTTTAAAGTTGTTCAAATGAAGTTCTTAGCAATGCATATTACTAATCACAGTAGGGAATTTACTAAATATCTTCATGGAACATGATCTTTACTTAATATCCTAATGATTTTGACCCATACAATGTATTTTTGGCTATTGCTACAAATATACCCCAGCGACTTAAGACTGCTTTTGTGCTCCAGGGTCACAAATGACTATGCATCATAGAAATTATTGAAAACAAAAGAATTATTACTATTGTAACATTTCACTGTAAAATAAAAAAATATACAACTGTAAAATTACATTTACTAATATTACAATCACTCATATTCATAGCCTAATTTCTTTTTTAAATTAAGCATGCATAATTTAAATGCAAAGACCGAGCCACACTGAGACGCTGCAAACACTGGCGGATAATGAGCTGCTCATGTGTAAATGAGCACAGTGCTGCGCTTCGCTGTGAAACATGCATTGCACTAAGCCATATCATGATATCAGTTATAATTTGATTAATCACACAGCCCTACTTGCAGCTCTGTTCCAGAATTTAGTTATCTGCTAATGCTAATATTGGAATCACTTGCAAGACGAGCATCCTATGGAGAGTCTGTAGTCTTATTTCAGTTAGCATGCTGCCTTGAAAGGCAACTGCTTATGCAGGCAGCAGACAACAAGACCGCTTACTAGACACACTATCATATCGTAGAAGTTCATCCCTCCCTGTTATAATTGCTTTCATTTTCTCTTGAACCTAAAATACAGTGTAACTCTTAATCTATATGAGTGAAAAATAACAGGCAGGGCTCCATATAAAACAGTTTGCTAAGCCAGCGTGTCAGTCGGCTGGTATTTATCGGTGTTTTGGTTCATCCAGTCTCACAGTCTGAAAGCCAAGAACAAAGGCAGCAGAGCATTTATGCTAAACGACTCTGTCTTTGTACTCCCTCCATCAGCCCAATGTGATTTATGAAACACAATTAAGAGATGATTCACTTCACAGCAGGCACAGTGAGGGAGGACGACTCCTTTGTTGTCGTTCTCCCCTTCGTCCAAACGCACACGTGCACGTATGGAAGAGTAGATGACAACAATTAAAGGGATAGTTCATCCAAAAATGTAAATTCTGTTATAATTTACACACCCTTAAATCTGTATGAATTTCTTTTGTCTGTTGAGCACAAAAGAAGATATTTTTGGAGAATGCTGGTAACAGTTGGCAGTAGCCATTGACTTTCATTGTATGAAAAAAATACTCTGAAAAATACTGGAATTCAGTGGCTACCGTCAACTTTTTGTTACCAGCGTTTGGAACAACTTGAGTGTTGTTTTCATTTTTGGGTGAATTATCCCTTTAAGCAATTGTTACATAAAGAATATAGTCGCTGATAAAGGGTCTGTCGAGGGTCACGCTACACATTACACGCTACACACGCTCCATTGACTTCCATTCATATGCATTCGCAAACACAAGCTCATACGAAGAAGTTTCGCATTTCGCTGCGTTCCGGAGTTAAAGTTTGAACTCTTACCTGTGAATTTGTATCATGTGAAGACATGTGAACAAAAGAAGAATGATACATCACGTGTCATTGTCGGTTTGCGGTGTATATTGTATACAACTTATTATTTAAGTGTTTAATTTATGTTTTTAAAAAGACGCCGGAGAGCATTTTTGCAAGCTCGAAGTCTAGTGTGAATGCGGCTAAAATGGGCTGCAGTAAACTAGCATGAATAATTTGGTCACATTATTTGGAGCAGGACTCAGTGGCCTTTATCACAAAATAAATGTGACCATCTTACTGTACCTTATGCCATTATCCCACTACTTTTTGAATAATTAACTAGGCCTAAATAAATGTTGATTTGAGTTCAAATGAATGCATTACCACTAAGAACTACTAAAGAGAGTATTCCAGTGAGCAGCATAATAATATTGAATATCCCATGTGTGATGGAGGTTCATAGGGCTCTGGTGCACATGTAAATTTCCCCTCGTTTATCTTGTCACAGCAAGTTGCCGGGTTCCACGTGGGTAAATGTGAGTGGCTGCGTGTGAGGGCGGGCACAGTGTGTATTCTGAGGCTCGACGCTGTGGGAATGTGCTGAGAGGAACTTTGCCATGAGATGGTGGTGTGCTTTTATATAGGGTGTACCGCTCACACTACAGGAGTGTGTTTATCATGAAGCCCTGATAAACCAGTATGAACAACCAGTTTCACATTTGTAGTCACAACACCAGCCCATCACACAAAATTACACCTTGCACTTGCAGTGTTATGAAACAAAATGATTCATATTCATGTTTTGGTCATATTGCCCACCCCTAGATATACTTTCCCTTTCCTGCCTTCTCTTGGTTGCAAAGGAAGTTAAAAAGGAAGTTTAAAATCAAGCTGACAAGTGTCATTTTGTGGGACTGTTACATTAAAACTACTGACTGTATTTAACTGTATTGATTCATAATGTGGAGTCTGCAAGTGACATGTAAAGATGAGTCTGTGTACTTAATGTTTAACAGTGCCGTCTATGTGTTAAACTCGTTATTTCAATCAAGATGACTGATTTATTTTGTAATCTGGACCATCAGGGCTGGAAAAGTCAAGAAAATTTTTTTTTGTTTGTTTTAAATCCAGTTTTTACTTGAAGTAAACAGAGCTAACCCTCTAATGGCTCTCCTAGTTAGCTAAACAACTAAATGTCTAACTTGTTTAAAACATGTTTTGCGGCTAAAATGGGCTGCAGTAAACTAGCATGAATAATTTGGTCACATTATTTGGAGCAGGACTCAGTGGCCTTTATCACAAAATAAATGTGACCATCTTACTGTACCTTATGCCATTATCCCACTACTTGTTGAATAATTAACTAGGCCTAAATAAATGTTGATTTGAGTTCAAA